CCTCGTCAGTCTTTCCTCCGTATTGAGCTTCAGACCATTTATAATGTATTCTAGAATCCATTGATTTCCCCACGGGCTTTGCCTTACCCTTTGATATTCAAATTATTCCTTTTGCATTCATAAGAAAAATCTTGTCATTATCCTTCTACTGGATGTGTGATTTCATTTTGTAATCCATTCGTGTTTCTGCTTTTTAAGGATACTGACCTTGTAGGTGGGCTAGACACAAGTGTTAATTGGTGGAAGAATCTTTGAGAGGAGACTAAAGTCCATAATTGTAACTGAGGCGGTAACTGGGATCCTGTGATCTTGAGTAATTAATGGTCCTTACGCTTATCACACTGCACCTGGGCTATACACAAACAGCAGCTCCCTTGCCCCCAAGAATGATAAAGAAGAGTTAGTCAAATATTCTAGTTAACTGATAAGTAGAAGGACTTCCTTCCCTTTAACCTACAACTCCTGGGAGGAAACAGGGGAGCATGAAGCAGTGATACCTTTCTTCTCAAACTAATATCATGACTAATTCTTACAACCAAATATTCATTCACTTAATGCTCTTGTCCAGTGAGTTTCAGATCTCTCTCTCTCTCCCTCCCTACCTCCTGCCTCTCTCGGTCATGGGGTCTGTCCTGGGGCATGAACTAAGGCTTGAGCTCAGGACATTATCCCTGATCTCTTTGGCTCAAGGCAAACGCTCTATCACTTTGAGTCACGGCATCACTTCCAGTTTTCTGGCTGGTCATTAGAGATAAGAGTCTTATAGACTTTCCTGGCCAGGCTGGCTTCGAACCACGTTCCTCACATCTCGGCCTCTTGAGTAGCTAGGATTACAGGCGTGAGCTACCAGTGCCTGGCAAACTTCAGACTTTGATTAGAATACTAAAACTAGACTCCATATGAGAATACAAAAGGTATCCATTTCTAGAACTTTCTGAGTGCAAAATGACAAGCAAAAATCATCTCACCTTGGTTATTATATAAATGCCACTCACTCGGCCTTCAGTTCAAATACTCTCTGTCATGATTCTTGGCACTCAAATGCAACAAAACCTCTGTCCTCCACAGAATTCTAAGTGACCTTCAAAGGCCCTTCCTTTATTGGTTTTTCCTTGTATTTTTTTTTTCAGCATTCATCTTTCAAACTGTCTAAAACTTCCTAACTTTCTCGTTAGGTTGTTTCCGAGTTTGCAAAGAGAGCCCACACTGATGACACCAAAATCCGGGTGAACGGCCTCGTTTCTGTACACGATAAAGCAGCGATGATAAAGGAATTTATTTGAACACTGCCTTCCAATCTGAGGATTAGTGAGTTTGCAGAAATACATTCTACTTTGCCAAGCCCTGCATGGGGAACAGTTCACTTAATCCTCAGGAAAGTTTATTGTTCCCTTTCAGAGCAAATTCACGCACAGAAGAGGACAAACACAATGCATGTGTGTTTACCAACTAGAATATGCATCTGCCTACCCACCACTCAAAGGTTATTAAAGGAGCTGCATGAATTCTCTCTCCCGCGGGTTATGCTTTTACACCGGAAATTCCCACTTGGACATTCATTTCCTAAAATCCTAACATTATCTTTAAAATATATACATATATATATATAATTATTTTTGCTGATCCTAGGGCTTGAACTCAGGACCTGAGCCTGTCTGTGCTCAAGGCTAGCTCTCCACTGGAGCCATAGTGCCACTTCCAGCTTTTTTCTAAGTAGTTTATTGGAGAAAAGAGTCTCATGGACTTTCCGGACCCTGACTGGCTTCAAACCATGATCCTCAGATCTCTCCCAGCCTTCTGTGTAGCTAGGATTTTTTTTTATCATTAAGATTTATTTTCTGTTATCTCGATGTTGTTGTACAAAGGGCTTTCCATTTACTATGTCAATGTACATGTAAAGTGCATCTTCATCGATGTGATCTATTCAAACATGCACCCCACTCCCCCAGGCTATCCCAAACACTAAAGTTATCTTTTTTTGTTTTGTTGATTTTAATTCACATATTAGCATTGAGATCTGTGGCAGATTGTGTTTTCCACAATCAGCCGCAGCATTCATTCTGGGTCTCAGATTTTCCTCGTAATCTTACCAAGAGGTAGAGGCCATTTCTCTTCCCTGGGTCATTTATTTATTCATTTGTTTTGGTTTGGTTACTGGGACATGGACTCAGGGCCTTGAGTTTGACTGGCTTGCCAGGCCTCCAGTGTCCACTTCCCTTGAACTGGGTTAAGTCTGACTGCCTTTGTCAGTGTAGAAAAGACAGCTACTGGATGGCCATTTGTTCATAACAGATCACCGGGCCTGTGCCTTGCTCTCTTAATTTCTGCCCCACCTCTCTTCCCCCCAATCTGAGTGTTGGTCCTTGGAACACAGCCCTCATGCCTGGCATGTGGATAAGAAAAGTTACAGAAAAGTTTATAGCCCATGGTGTGATTACCCTTCCATGGAAAAGAGGGCTCAGAGTCATTTTCTTTTGCTGTGATAATATCTTCTATTGAAAGTGGGAAATAAATCAGAGATAAGCTTGCATTAAACATCTTTTTTGTTAGTGAAATAGATCAAGGACAAGAGTGTAATTTAAAAAAATCTGATTAGAAAAATGTCCTGAGTCTTATATATTACCATATTCGGTCCCGGAATGTAATATACAAATATACAAATGTGTGGGGGGGAATGATTAATCAGATAGTCCTAGCTGATTACAACCTTTACATTCTTTGCTCAGTCTATTACAATCCCCATGATGAACACTAGATTCTCAGAATAATAGGAGATGTTTGCTAGGGTCTGTAGGATGGGGAATGGGAGACCTTGCCACAGAGGCTAAACTAACCACAGATGATAAAACAAAAAAAAATTGAGCCTTGTGTGAGACACACAAGGCAGAATGTTCCCTGTGAGCTTCAAGGTGACGGAAGGTAGAAGAAGAATTGAGACTCTCTTCCAGAGAGTCTAGTTCCATCTCCACAGGATGTCCTGATGAATTGCCTGTTTTAAAAACATGAAGAAAAAAGCCAGATGTAGAGCTATGGCTCACGTAGTAGAGCACTAGTCTTGAATAAAAAGGCCCAGGGACAGGCCCTGAGTTCAAGCCCCAACAGGGGCACAAAACAACAACAACAAAAACCATGAAGGGTGGGAGGGCTTCTCTTGGTATTGCCCCTGCCTAGCAAGTGTGATGCCCAGAGTTCAAGCTCTAGCACTGCCACTGTAATTAATTATAGAGTTAAAATGAAAATGTAAGTTGGGTACCAGTGGCTCACACCTGTAATTCTAGCTACTTCGTAAGCTGAGATCTGAGGATCCAAGTTTGAAGCCAGCCGGAGCAGGAAAGTCTGTGAGTCTCTTTTCTTCACCTAATCACCAAAGAAAAAGCCCGAAGTGGAGCTGTGGCTTAAATAGTAAAGCGCTAACTTTGAGCAAAAGCTCAGGGACAGATTCCAGGCCCTGAATTCAAGCCCCAAGCTAAACTGCGGCAATAATTAGTGACCCAAGACAGGTCCTTCATGTTTTTGGTGGTACTAGGGTTTGAATTTAGGGTCTCACCACAGCCAGGTGGGTGGGCCTACGATCCAAGTTAGGTTGTTAATAGCATATCCTATCCCAGCAATTTCTTTGCTTCCCCAGGTAAGAGAAACTTTCATAACAGGCATTGAGAAAGTCTATTGTTTATTGCTAAGGGGTTTATGTACTAGACAGTAGAGAATAAATAAGCTAGAGCTGAATTTCTCAAGCTAGTCCAAAGGGTACTGTGAAATGACTAGAAGTTAATAACAATGAAGTCTCAGACCATGAGTTTAATGAGATAGAACCAGTGCCACCATGCCATGAAATTCTGAGTGTAAGTTCTGTGATCAAATAGTGTTCTTTTGTCCATAGGATGAAGTTATTTCACAGCCACAGGGCGTCAAGAAAACTACTACAGGGGCTGGGAATGTGGCTGAGTGGCAGAGTGCTGGCCCAGCATGCATGAAGCCCTGGGTTCGATTCCTCAGTACCATAGCAACAGAAAAGGCAGGAAGTGGTGCTGTGGCTCAAGTGGTAGAGCACTAGCCTTGAGCAAAAAAGCGGCTCAAGGACAGCGCCCAGGTCCTGAGTTCAAGCCCCAGGACTGGCAGAAACAAACAAACATCTTTCAGAGTTTCACTTTCTCAAAGCTTGAAGAACCACTGGAAAGCCATGGAACAGAGCCAGGGCTGTGGAAGAACTGAACATGGACTCCCTGTGAACACAAATCCCTGGGACAATCTGGGAGAGTGGAATCCAGGGACCCCAGGCTAGAGATGGATCCCCCCTGACCCCCCTGTCCCTCCCCTCCCCCCCCGCCCCCCCCAAGGATGAGCTCCCCGAAGCAGCAGAGGAATCGCCCGCAGCTGCTTCTGGGCCTCCTTCCCAGTCTGCCCCAGGCCACTGGAAAGCTGCATCTGAAAAGGGGGGGGAAAGAAGGTAGAAGACCAGAAAGTGCTCAGCTCCATCGCACTACAGCATCTGATGAATTGCACAATTGAATTCAGAGAAGCTTCTGGAACCTCACAACTCACACCATAGAAAACCGACTCCTGCATGCACGTCCATTTCTCCGTGAGAGTCCCCGCTTTGACCCTGCCGCTCGCCCAGGCCCTTCTGGAACCCCCCCCCCCCCCCGCCCCGCGTCCCCCCCTCTCCCCCCTCCCCCTACTGACCGCCGCGGGACCCCGCGCCGACCCCGCCCGGCCGGGCACCGAGCTCCACGCGCTCGGGCAATGGACGCACTCCGGGAAGCCGTCCAATGAAAGCCGCTGGGGAGGGGGCGTGGCCTCCGAGGGGGATTTGAGTCCAGAAAGTGGGAAGTGTGCGCTGATTGGCTGATCCTCTTAACCTCGTCGGCCCAGCCTTCATTGGACAGCGGGAGCCGGCCATCAGAAGAAGGTCACCAATCAGCGGTGACAAAGCCTCCCTGAGGAGAAGCCCCGCCCCCTGGGCTATATTAACCGGGAGCCCGGCGCGTCCCCCCTCCGGCTCTCCGCGGACCCAGTGGAACACAGGAGTGCCTCGGAGGCTCAGCGGAGACCTCCGTCCAAGACGCCCTCCCCGGGCCTCCCCACCCCGGCCCGCGGGGCCCCTCGCCTCGTAGGCCTCTGGAGTGTGGTTTCGGGGGGCGAGGCGAGAGCAGGCCCGGGGAGGGGGCGCGCGCGGACCGCCGGGGAGCCGCCGACGCTGTCACGGTGAGCCGGGGCGCGGGGCGCGCAAGCCCGGGCTTGCCCGGCCGGAGGGGCGGAGCCGCGCCGCGCCCCGGGGGTCCGCGGGCCGGGGCGCCGGACGTGGGTGAGCCGGGCGGGGAGGGCCCGCCCTGGACCCCGCGCCCCGCGGCCCCCCGCGGCCCCCCGCGCCCCGCGGCCCCCCGCGCCCCGCGGCCCCCCGCGCCCCGCGGCCCCCCGCGCCCCGCGGCCCCCCGCGCCCCGCTCCTCAGTACTGGGCAGGCCGGATGCCCAGCTCTGGGCTGGGACTCGAACTCGGCCTGGGCGCCGCCCCGGGGCGGCCGCTCCACACCCCCCCCCCCCAGCCGCAGCGCCACTTCCGGCCCGTTCCCTGTAGGTGGTGCTGAGGACTCGAACCCGGGGCCGCCTGCATGGAGGCCTGCGCTCCACCCCCGAGCCCCCGCCCCAGCCCTTGACCCGCACGGGTCTGCGAGGTGTAATGACCCCATCTAAGGAACCATGGCCCCCGCGCCCCAGTGTGAAGCTGCTGGCCTGCCTTGTCCTCTTAAGTGTTTTATCGTGAGGACACTGCACAGAGGGTTACAGTGACATGAGCAAGAGGAGTCCATTGCCTAGCCAGCATGCTAACCCCCGCCTTCCTTTCCCCTAGCTTACCATGCCTTATTCGAGGTTATGGACGAGCAATACTTGAAAGTATTTCTTGAAGGCCTGCACTTTTGATGTTTAAGGCATGGTCCCTCCTCAGTTAAGACGCAGCCAACTTGTAGAAGGGGAAAAACAACACCGGGCGACCCACAGTGGAGTGTCTCAGATTGAGTTACCCCCTGGAGGGAGAGACACAGTATGAAGCATTTCTTGGCACCCGCCAAGGAGAGTGGGAAGTGATACTCTCTCTCCTTTCTGGGATTTGTTCCATTTATAGATGATCGAGGTATCGACAACACCTGACGCCCAGAATCTGCTACACCAGCTGAACACCCTCCTGGAGCAGGAGTCGAGATGTCAGCCCAAGCTCTGTGGCTTGAGGCTGATCGAGACTGCCCACGACAACGGCCTGAGGATGACGGCGAGGCTCAGGGACTTCGAAGTGAAAGACCTTCTGAGCCTGACCCAGTTCTTTGGCTTTGACACAGAGACGTTTTCCCTAGCTGTCAATTTACTGGACAGATTCCTGTCTAAAATGAAGGTACGTGTGAAGCCACGTGACCCCGAGAATTTCTCAATGTTTTGCTCAAAGCCAAGCTGGGATTACCAATGCAGGGCTGGAATCTATAACCTTGGCCTTCCATATGTTTTCAGAGGGTAACTGAAATACTGGTTGGGTACTGCGGCATTAATTTGCTTCCTCTCTAATTAAGAAGTATGGCTTACCAGATGCATTCTGAGGTAGAAAAGCCTAATATCACATAAGTAACTGCATCATTCAGTAGGAAAGCTGCATGTTTTGAAACAGAATCTTGCTTGATAGGCTGAGATCTGAGGATTGTGGTTCGAAGCCAGCCTGGGCAGGAAAGTCCATGAGACTTTTATCTCCAGCTAACCACCAGAAAACTGGAAGTGGTTCTGTGGCTCAAAGAGGTTACAGTACACTAGCCTTGAGCAAAGAACTCAGGGACTCTGCCCAGACCCTGAGTTCAAGCCCCATGACTGACCAAAACAAAACAAAATAAGGCTCTACGGGAATTGATGACAAGCATTGTGCATGTAAGCAGACATATTAAATTGAAATCCCTTTGCACAACTATTTGAAGGTGGGAGTGCATGTGAACTCTGATTGCTGAGCTATAATCTCAAACATAATTTCACGATAGGTTTAAGTAGTAGATTACCCCCTTGTGTTTTATTAACAAAAACAAGGTAGCAATGTGGGCTGACGGTGAATTTTTGGTTCTAGGTACAGCCCAAGCACCTTGGGTGTGTTGGACTGAGCTGCTTTTACTTGGCTGTAAAGTCAATAGAAGAGGAAAGGAATGTCCCTTCGGCAACTGACTTGATCCGAATAAGTCAGTATAGATTTACGGTTTCAGACTTGATGAGAATGGAAAAGATTGTCTTGGAGAAGGTGTGTTGGAAAGTCCGAGCTACCACGGCCTTTCAGCTTCTGCAACTCTATTCTTCCCTCATTCGGGAGAACTTGCCACCTGAAAGGTAGGTGACCTTCGTTTTGAATGAAGGAAATCAGGACTGTACTGTTTGCATATTGCATAAAATCACTATCCTCAGAATTCCAACCAAAGTAGGTGAAACAGCTTCTGACCTTTAGTACCCAGCAGAAGCGAAATGATAGTCATCAGTTGTTTCCCGAAGGCTCATTTTTAGGATGAAAGGACATTTAAGTTTTCATAGACCCCAGCAGGTAAGTATTTAACAAGCTTCAACGGGCAATCAGTAAGATGCTTCCTAGATACCTTGAGGAGCGAGGCATGGTGGCAGACAGCTATGAATCCCATCCGGAGGCAGGAACAGGAGAATGGCAGTTCAAGGCCAACTCAGACAAGTTAGGAAAGCCTATCTCAATAAAAACAAGCCGGACTTGTTGGCATACACTTCTATTCCAAGCAAGAGGAGGCTCAAGGTTCAAGGCCAGACTGCAAAGTTAGAGACCCTAGCTGAAAAGCAAGCTAACAAAACGTAAGGGCTGAGAGTATGGCTCAATGGTACAGTACTTGCCTAACAATATCAAGGCCCTGAACAATCCTTCCAACCACAAAAAAGGCAAGCTCCCTGGGCACTGGTGGCTCAATCCTGTAACCCTCATCAGGCGCATGGGATCTGAGGATTGAAGTGTGAAGCCAGTCAGAGCTGAAACATCCTCCAGACTTTCATCTTCAGAGTTACTAGCAAAAAGCTGGATTGGAGGTATGGGCCAAGTGGAGTGAGTGCCAGCCACGAGCGAACAAGCTGAGAGAGCAAGAGGCACTGAGTTCAAACCCCGAAACTGGCCAAAAACGAAGAAATCCTAATATTTGTGGCATATCCCTGATCTTTTCTTATTCTAATCTTAAATTTCCTGTTTGGTTCCTTTAAGAACTTAATGTCTCTGATAAAGGGAAATTCCTTTAACAAAAAAGTAATACTTTTTAAAAAATGTCTTGACTCATGCCAGACATTAATATTAGATACCTTGAGTCACACTAATAATACTTTAATAATGTTACTACTATCTATCTACCTGAAATCCGTCTCTCTTTTTTTCAAAGGAGAAATAGCCTTAATTTTGAAAGACTAGAAGCTCAACTGAAGGCATGTCACTGCAGGATCCTATTTTCTAAGGCAAAGGTGGGTATTTCGTTTAGGTTAGACCTATTTATATAGACCTATTTTTGTACCTGACCTTCACTTTGCCCCTTTCAGCCTTCGGTGTTGGCCCTGTCCATTGTGGCTCTGGAGATCCAGGCACAGAAGGCCCTAGAATTAACAGAAGGTGTCGAATGCCTTCAGAAACATTCTAAGGTATGTCCTGGTCCGAAATCTGTTAAGAAGTAGGTATGAATCTCAACCAGTTTGTGATCTTCTAAAGCCAAGGGGTATGTCACCTGTTTGAAACTGAAGTAGCTAGCCTCAATGTTTTTGATGAGGGGAAAAGATTCAAATGAATAATAATATGGCAGCCATTTTATTACCATCAATACAGTAGGACTGTGATGTGATTATAATGTCAACAAACTTTCTGTACAGATAAGTGCTCGGGATTTGATCTTCTGGCAAGAGCTCGTATCCAAGTGTTTAACTGAATATTCATCCAACAAGTGTTCCAAACCAAATGTTCAGAAGTTGAAGTGGATTGTTTCCGGGCGGACCGCAAGACAGTTGAAGCATAGTTACTACAGAATAAGTCACCTCCCAACCATCCCCGAAACTGTTTCATAAATGGGCAAATTTGGTTCTCTGTGTAGAAAAAGTTTCCAGTGGTATAATTTTATTTCTACAATCGGAGAACTGAAATATGATGTTCAAAATAAACCAAATGGAGTTGGAATAGCAAAAGGGGGAAATCACCTCACTGTTCTAGTCTGCTAATACTTGAAAGCATTTATGGTGTATGCAGCAGAACACCTTAATTCCTTTAATTAATTCCCTTAATTTAATTTGTTACCTCCCCCTTGATAATAGTCATCATTTCAATCATCAGCATAGGAAACTGGCCTCCTTAAGGTAGCACTGAAATAAGTGTTTTTCATTGCCTATCTTGCTGTAGGTAGACTGCAAGTATCTAATACCTAACTCAGTCAAAGTAACAGAAGCCCAAGTTGAGCATCAGGTCCAAAACTCTGCCCTGTACATAAACTCATGGCTCATAAGCCATAGCATTTCAACCTTGGTGGTCTCAAAAAGAAACAGGACTATGGGCAGATGATCTCCACATTGGGTTTCTGGAACTTGCTAAGGTTTCTCAACCTTATAGTAATTATATGCATAAAAAAATGTAGGCTTAGCTGGGCGCCAGTGTCTCATGCCTGTCATCCTAGCTACTCAGGAGATCTGAGGATCCTGGTTCAAAGCCAGCCCTGGCAGGAAAAGTCTCTGAGACTCCTATCTCCATTAACCACCAGAAAACCGGAAGTGGCGCTGTGGCTCAAGAGGTAGAGCACTCACCTTGAGATGAAGAGCCCGGGGACAGCGCCCAGGCCCAGAGTTCAAGCTCCCCAACCAACAAAATAAAAAATAAAATAAAAATTTAGGGTTGGCCAGTTGATATTTAGGCAGACTTCCATGCAACTGGGATTTTTGTTGACTTAAATTTCTGTTACTGAAGCAAGAAAACAAAGCCCTCTGGAATCTTTCTCCACAACCCTAAGTGTGGATTCCATGTTGTAATGGGTGTTAAGCTATGATACATGGAAACACCACCACTACATAACCTCAGATCTGGGCAAACTGGCTAATTAATGCTTAGTTGAACTGTGTTAAGACTTGAATTCATCTGTAAAGCAGTCAAGTCAAAGCTAAAGATACCAAGGTGAAATATTAATAACAAACCTAGAAAGGTAAACTGTGAATCTTCATTTCTACCTTTGATCTAACTTTCTATAGTGGAGCTATTGTTTTTAAGTGGTATTGACAATGGTAAACTTCTTAATTTAAACATTTTAAATTGTGAAGTTTACATGAAAACCAACATTTCACAAATGCACTTTAAGCCATCAGAGTTAATATACTCTAGGTGGTAAATGGCTTCTTGAACTCACAACGCAGGTAGCAGTTAATTTGAAGAGGATTTTACTGCTACATAAGAAATTAATTTGAATTTACAGGCATTTTATATAAAACAAATAAAAGACCTTGCAAGTTTGATATATTATCTTTACTATGTCTCCTAGAAACAGGTGATGTTTGCATCCATGGTGAATCTTCATAATCTACTGCCTTATTCTAGTTCCACTAAAGAAACTAGTGTTGGTTGTTAGAAACTCAAAACTAAATTTGTCACTCTGATAACTTGTTTTGCCTCCACCAAAATAAGCTAAATAGCTGGTAGGTAAATAAGCTAGATAACCCACCCCAGTTATTACAAAAGACTTTATAAAACTGCAATTGCTTCTAATGCAGAATTTTGTTTTTAACCACTTTCACAAACACCTCTGTGTCTTATGCATGGTCGGCACCCGCATAATTACGAGATGGCAGAGGTAGTAGCAGCGAGGGTTGCTCCGCTCAGCTGGTGGATCTAAGGAGACGTAGGAAGTGTATGGACAGTACAAGTAGCCACAGTCCCTCCCGACTGGCCATTAGCAATTCTGACCAGCGCTGAAGAAACAAACCAAAGACCCACAGTGTATGTTATCCTTAACTTTTGTAGACCATACTTTATGGGTGACCTTTTGGTTTCCCCAAAGGGCTGATACATTTCAACATTTTGAAAACATCAGTGTTAACTTTGAGTTGGCAGATGCAACCTGTCCAACCGTTGTTTGGTACCTTTCAATAAAACTATTGAAATGCAATCTTTGGTGGCTAGTTGTTCTTTTTTTTTCCTTTCCAGATTCATTGTTGCAGTGTGGTAATATAAGAAAGAAGCTGGGTTCATGTTTAAATTCTACACAAAGATGCATGGAACAGTAGCTTTTTAACTTCTGGTGGAGCTGGGGTTTGAACTTGCTAGAGAAGCACTCTACCACATGGGCTGTACCTCCAGCTTCTTTTTGCATAGGTTACTTTGGAGGTATGTCCTCACTCACTGCCTGAGCCAGCTTGGGCTGCTGCCCTCCTCCTGGCGCTTGTGTCAATAGGAATGATGGGTGTATACCACAGGACACACCCATTGTTTCCTGTAAACACAACACCCAGCCATTGGTGGAAATGGGATCTCACTAACTTCTCTGCTTGGGCTGGCCTTGGTTTCTACCTCCCAAATAGCTACATTCCTCAAATGTTTAAACACATCATAGACCAACCCTGGTCCTAATAAGAAAAGCACGTACCCATATGAAACTGTACACCAATGTTTATAGCAGTATTCAGGAAACATACTCCAGACATCCAAGTTACAAGCAGACTGACAAAATGTGATGGAGGATTACTCGGACACAGAAATGAAGTAGTTACCGATGCTAGGACACGGAGAACCTCTGGAGCACGTTAAGTGAGAGAACCCTGTAACCAATGACCACATAGTATATGATGCCATGTGTATGAAATGGCCACAAATCTATGCAACAGGAAACGTGGTGGTGGGAAGGATGATACACATCCAGGAGAGCTACCTGAAGTGAGGAAAACACTGACTGTGCTGATGGCTGCACACAACGTGCACACTGGGTGAATACTGGCTGGGTTCCCAACTGTGGCTCATACCTTAAATCCTATCTACTTAGGGAACTGAAATCTGAAGATCACTGATTTCAATCAAACCGTGCAAAGACCCTCCACACTGCATCTCCAGTCAGCTGGCAGCAGGCTGGGCAGGAGGAACAGCTCAAATGGTAGAGGAGCACAGCTGGGAACAAAAAAGCTGAGGGCTGGGAAGGTGGCTCAGTGGTAGAGCGCTTGCCTCTCACGTATGAGGCCCTGGGTTCCATTCCTTAACACCACATTCGAAGAAAAAGCCAGAAGTGGCGCTGTGGCTCAAGTGGTAGAGCACTAGCTTTGATCTGAAGAGCTGAGGGACAAGTGCCCATGCCCAGAGTTCAGGCCCCACAACTGACAATAAAAATAAAAAGCTGAGGGCTTGAGTTCAAAATTATCTACAGTGATGGATTGGATACAATGTGCATTCTTTAGGTAAATGTGGGGTATGTGAATGAACAATTTTCCAATGGTTCTATATAATAATAATAATAATCTTGCAAATACAAAACGACAGTCTAGATCAGTAGTTCCCCAAAGTTTAAATTCAGGGCGCAGGAAGAAGCAACTACTAAGAAAGCATTCTGGTGTTTCTAGGGTGACTGAAAGGTAGGATAATTGTCAAAGCTCTCATATGCCAATGCACGTATTAAACTTCACCAGATTATACACTAGAAGATTAATCTTGACATCAAGTTGCCCAAAATACCATTGCTGTTTTGAATTTCTTACAACTTTTTCAGAACTTGTGTTTGTGAAGTAGGATACAAAGACAAAGGGGCACACAATGCCTGCTTAGAAAATTTATTGAACATTATTCTCGCATCACACTTAAGAAAAACTTCAATGTTCCCTGAAGGCACCCTTCATTTCATATGATTGGTATTTTTTGTAGTAAAAATACAATTAAATATGAAATTAGCAAAAGGCAGAATATAAAACTTCATGCTGAGCAAAAACAAGTCCAAAAAAAGTCACCATATATCCACAGAATATTTCCTATGGTACATGTTTTCTATGTAAATCATATCTTAATGCAATTTTTAGAACCATATTTAAATAGCTTTGCAATTTGTTAATTGTAGGTATCCTATTTTTTTCTTCCACCACATAATATACTGCTTATATTAACATTGGCTATACCTGCTATGATCCACACAATGTAACCAAAAGCTTTTCTTTTTTAAAGAACTGCAGTTATTTCTCAAGGTTTGAGAAATCCGGTCCACCTTTTGTGTAGTTTCCTGAGATTTCAGCTCCACTGAAGTCAAAGCCAGGATTCTAAACAATATGAAAAAGAAAACAAGTAATAAAGCATGTAAGGAAAAAGGTAAGTTGAATGAGCAATTGACAGGAAAGGAGACCTAAGTGTCCTAAAAGGTACACGAAAAGATACCAAACCTTACCATCGCCACCAAAGTAAAATTTAAAACTACAGGCACTTTTCAGTATTTAGGACATTGGTATGTGTAATACGATGCAGACAGTCCTGTGGCAACTATGTCACTATCCGCGTGAACGCACTCAGTGGAACTTCCTCCCCATGGTGCTGCGGCAGCCTGCCACGCTGGGTGACAACCCTGGCATCGATTCATTCACCACTCGTTTTGTTGAGTGTTTTGTGAAACCGGGGTTTGAACTAGGGCCTTGTGCTTGCTAGGTAAATACTCAGCACTTGAGCCATGCGCCAGGTTCATTCATTCCTTTTTGAGACAGTCCTATCCCAAGGTGCTGAGGCTGGTCTTGAACATGTCAACCTCCTGCCTCAGCCTCTTGAGTAGTGGTATTATAGGCATGTGCTACCACAGCTAACTGATAGCATTTGAGAGAGTTTGCTACATGCCATGCAGGATTCTAAGAGCCATAGATATATTAATACATTTAACCCTCGTGACAATTTTATGCAGTAAGTATCTCAGCCTTCAGTGTTTTCAATGGTTAATTTTATTCATTTAACAAGCACATAATGAGTTCTACTCTTTGGAAGACACCATTAAATGCATGTGGAGTTCAAGAGTAAAGATGTCTACTTCAGAAGAACTAACTGTATCAGGAAAGAAAAAAGGAATAAAAGTATTCTGTGCAGAGCTAGCATACTTTTCTGTAAAGTCAGGTAGGAAATATTTCAGGATCTGCAGCCCACAGATTGTAACAAATAACCACACAGAATTTCTATATAAAGGATAATATACAAACAAAACTTTACTACAAAAATGGTGAAGCCAGAGGCTTGCCCTCATAATCCTAGCTACTCAGGAGGCTAACACCTGAGAATCATAGTTCAAAGCCAGCCTAAGCAGATAAATTCACAAGACTTTTATCTCCAATTAATCAACAAAAAGATGGAGTGGAGGTGTGACTCAAGTGGTAGGGCACTAGCCATAAGCTGAGTGAGACTGTGAGTCCTGGAGTTCAAGCCTCAGTACTGGTGTACACACACACACACACACACACACACACACACACGCACGCACACGCACGCACACGCACACGCACACAGGCACGCACCTCAATTCATACACACAAAGGCAATGAGCTCAATCTGGCCCATAGGAATTGTAATCACTGATCTAGTGTGCTGAAAAACCATCAAAATATATAAAAATAAACAAAAAGCACAGTATAAGGAAAAAGAAGAAAATGGGACCATCAAGTTTGCTTCATTCATTGATGGAGTTGAAAACAGTGAAGAAGTTGACAAACTGGAGGCCAGCATTCCTGTCAAAGATGACAAAGGAACAGGCTACAATGTTCAAGCATCAACAGGAGGGTCAGGACAATAATGAAATCACTGACCAGTTTACTCCACTAAGGGAGTACCTTGCAGACTTCTGAAAAGTGACAGATCTGACTTGTGGATTTTTTTTTTTTTTTTTTTTTAGCCAGAACCAAGGTTTGTGGTCAAGGAAACACACTTGCTTACATGGCTGGAATAGTTCATGAGCCATGCCTCCAGTTCTGCTTTGGGCTGGTTATTTTGGAGATATAGTTTCAAAGAATGTTCTGCTCCAAACCACATTCCTGCAGATCTCATTCATCCTCCTGAGTAGCTAAGATTACAGAGTTGAGCCACTGGCCTCCAGCTGACCTGTATTTTTAAAGGCTTTCTCTAACTATTTTGAGAGGACTGAAGGAATGCCAGACAACACAAGTAATGTGTGAAGTGAGCCACACCACAGGGGCTGTTAACACTGCTGCTGAGAAGCAGTGACATTCTGCATGTAACTGTAAGTAATGCCAATGAAGATTTACTAGCAATTGGTCAAGGTGTGAGAAAGAGATAGGAGTCAAATGATAGGTCTCAACTTTTTTAAATCTCAGCAACTAGTTTATCATCTGAGAGACGAAAGCTAACGAACAAATTGAGGGGAGAAATTAGGGTATTTGACTAGGACACCCAAACTGCATCTCATGTGTTAGCCAAGTGGAGAGGTTGAATAGATAATTGCATATGCACGTCCAAAATCCAAGTCAAAATCTTGACTAAACATAAACATTTGGGTAATAACCATAAATTGTCCACTAAAACTAGAGTCCTTTGATTAAGTGTTATCTTAAAGATACCAGCTTGGAACAAGTGAGTAGTTTCACAGAGATGAATGCACAAACTTTAAGAAAATGGGAGGGCTGGGAAGGTGGCTCAGTGGTAGAGCACTTGCCTTGCATGCATGAGGCCCTGGGTTCAATTCCTCAGCACCACATAAACAGGGGAAAAAAAAGCCAGAAGTGGTGCTGTGTCTCAAGTGGTAGCGGGCTAGCCTTGAGCTGAAGAGCTGAGGGACAGCGCCCAGGCCCAGAGTTCAGGCCCCACAACCAGACCCCCCCCCCCAAAAAAAATAGAAAATAGAGAATCTGAATCATATTAAAGAGGAATAGATCAGAAAGTAATTATAATACGTTCAAACTAAAGACTTAAGTTTTCCGATTTGCACATGCTGTAGGTATGTAGTAGTAGAGACCAAGATATATTACGAAGGAGAAACATGAAAAGCAATAAACACAGACCAGTAAGTGAGAAGAAAATGAAACAGAGGCCTACAATGGAGAAATGCGAGTGAAAGGACCTTGCATTTAAAAAAAATATGTCTGTGTTGATTCAATTTTTACAGTTTACTATTCATGAATTGGAGTTATAAAGTTATAACTCACTCTAAAATATTCTTTGCAGAATTTTTTTAAAAAGTTAAAAAACCACCATGCTTTTTTCCAACTACACTTGAAATATTTCTCCCAATAATTTTTTTTTTTTTTTTGGGTCCGGTCATGGGGCCTGAACCCTGGGCCTGGGCGCTGTCCCTCAGCTCTTCAGCTCAAGGATGGCCCTCTACCACTTGAGCCACAGTGCCACTTCCGGCTTTTTTCTTTTTGCTTATGTTGTGCTGAGGAATTGAACCCAGGGCCTCAGGCATGCAAGGCAAGCGCTCTACCACTGAGCCTCCTTCCCAGCCCTCTCCCAATAATTTTTTGTGTATGTGCCTGCAAGTGGAACTTAAAAAGTCAGGACCTCCTACTTCTAACTAGCTTTTTCAATCATGGCTGCCGTTTGAGCCATGCCTTCAGTTCCAGCTTTTTGTTGGTTAATAGGAAATAAGTCTCATAGATTTTTCTTTTTTTTTGCCCCAGCTGGCTTCAAATTGTGATCCTCAGATTTCAGTCTACTGAGTAGCTACAATTGTGAATAGCTATAATTTCAGCCCCAAGAGTTTTCATCACTTTTGATAATCCTCATACTTCAACTTTAGTAAAAATTACTCTATATGAGTCTTCAATTACTTAACTACAATTCAATTACTTAACTTCAATTACTTAACTACACACACTCATGCATTCATCTGACTTACTTCTTTTTGGAACCTCTCTAATGTGAGCTTTCTCTGCATTTGGTCTTGTACCCAAGGATCAGCGGCATATTCAGATTCTAGAAGGGAAGTCCAACAGTTGGCTGCATCTCTCTTTGTCTTTGTAAGAACAATGCGGACCATTTTTCTATCCTCTAAAAAAAAATTACAAAGAAATCAGTCCATTACTTTATCTTCTTTTTATTTTTCAAAATCTACTAGGCAACTGTGATTAGTCCATCGTTTTCAACCCATGTCTATATCTTTCATAGCTACAAAAAGACTTTGTACAGCTGGGTGCTAGTGGCTCACACCTGTCATCCTAGCTACTCAGGAGGCTGAGATCTGAGGATCACGGTTCAAAGCCAGCCCCAGCAAGGAGTCTGTGAGACTCTTTTTTTTTTTTTTTTTGGTCTGGTCGTGGGGCCTGAACTCTGGGCCTGGGCGCTGTCCCTCAGCTCTTCAGCTCAAGGCTAGCGCTCTACCACTTGAGCCACAGCGCCACTTCCAGCTTTTGTGGTGGTGAGGAATTGAACCCAGGGACTCATGCACGCAAGGCAAGCGCTCTACCACTGAGCCACCTTCCCAGCCCCTCAGAGACTCTTACCTCCAATAAACCACCAGAAAACCAGAAGTGGCTCTGTGGCTCAAGGTAGAGCGCTAGCCTTGGGCTGAAGAGCTGAGGGACAGAGCTCAGGCCCAGAGTTCAAGCCCCACGACCAACACTACTGCCACCACCACCAGTAATAATAATAATAATAATAAATAAGACTGTACAAAAAGCGGAAGAAAATACTAATTTTCACCTCAAAATTAATCTTATTGTTTTTCTTACCCAAAGTCCATGTTCCTTCATCAGCTATAGTGGAATCAAAGAGCTTGCCCTGAAAGATAAAACATCAAGTACAGGATGAAGACAGGTAAGTGCTGAAGAACCTTTTGCGCGAGGTCACAGACCCAGAAATCTGGCGGAGCTGGGAGTCCAGCAAGCCTTGTCTCCTCGCAGGGCACGACCGCCCCACTGGGCATGTCCCGCAGCTAGTGTCGGAGAATAGAATCTAACTTCCAATTGTTAACTGGTCTTTCGTACAGCAATAACAACAAAAAGGTCCCAAAGCTAGGGGTCAGGGGTCACGCCGATAAAGGGGTTCAAGCCCCGCCCCAGCACGAAACTAGACCCTTGCGTCTGTGATCCCCGAACCCCGGGGCCGTGAGTGAAAACCCATCCGGCGAACGGCCGGCCTGTTCTCAGACCCGCAGGGGGGGATTTCTCCAGGTCGGGAAACCCCGGGCGCTCCACCACTTGAGCCGCGGCTCCCATTCGGGCTTTTCTGGTTGTCCGCCGGAGCTGGCGGGCGGGGGAAGAGGCTGGCTTCGAACCCCGATCCTCACATCTCGGCCTGCGGCGCGGCTTGGTGATCGCTCGGTGGGGCGGGGCCGGGTGGGGGTGGGGGTGTCGGGGGATCCCGCCCCCTCGGTTCCGGGCGGCGAAGGCCCCGGGGCGCGGCGGGCAGGCCCGGCCCGGCCCGGCTGGCTGCTCCTCCCCGTCCCCCCCGGCCCGGCCCGCCCGCTACCTTGAGGATCTCGCGGCCGCCCACGGCCAGCGCCACGTGCCGGCTCTGCAGGCCGCACTGGACGTCCTGCGCGCGCGTGCCCGGCGGCACCCGCACCTCGATGAACACCTCCTCCAGCGTCTGGTACCACTGGCCCCACGGCGTCCCGCACGGCACCACCCCGCTGCGCTCCTCGAACGGGGCCGACATGCTCCCGGCCCCGGCCCCCGCCCCGCCGCACCGAGTGTGACGTGCGCACGCGCACCGCGCCACGCCCCCGCCCACCCACCAGACACTGCCTCCGGGCTCCCCCACCCCGTCCCCAATCCCCCGCCGCACCGAGTGTGACGTGCGCACGCGCGCAGCGCCACGCTCGGGTCACGCTCCTCCTCCTCCCCCTCCCACCACCACACACCCGGGTCATCGCACATGCGCACATCCCCTACCTGACGCCGGGCCCGGAGTTCGTTTTTCCGTTTCCATGTCCATTTAGGACACGGACAGAAGCCGGTGTTGAAGCAATTGGGACCCAGAAGAGTTGACAGCCAAAGCACGGCGGCACCGGGCTGGAACGCCTCACGGATCACGACGCCCAAAGGGCGCCCGGCCCACACGGCTGATTGCGAGGCTCCATCGCCGGGCGGGCGGGACGTAGCCAAGAGAAACGGCCTCCCATTGGCTGTACCGCCTCCCGTCACGAATCACCTCATTGGACGCCTTAGACGCGCCGGTGCACGTGCTCCTGCAGGGTTGCTAAGCGGGATTGGTCAGCCTCCTGGTTCTCAGCCTTCCAATTGGCTACCGTGGAGTGGGCGGGGAAAGTGCGCGTTGATTTGAATAGCAACGTTGGGGCGGCGGTCTGACTAACGGTCGGGACCGCTGCGGAGCCGCCGCCCGCGTCGCTTCTCCTGGCCGGCCCTGACGATGTCGTTTGCCAAGGCGACCTTGAAGCGATTCAATCACCCTTCTGGTGGGCGCCGGGTGCGGGCCGGGCTCGGGGGGGTGGGCCGGGGCCGGGGCGGGGTCTGCCCGGGGGTCCGCGGCGGGCTCCGGGGACCCGGGGAAGATGGCGCCGGGCGGGCGCGGGCCGGGGCCCGAGCTCCCAGGGTCGGGGGGGGGGGGTGAGGGGTGAGGGGTGCTGGGGAAAACGGCCCTGGACGGCACGGTTCGCTGAGCGCCTGTCAGGTCCCGGTCCGCGGCCCGGCGGTCGTGGGTGGGGGCGGGATTTGAACTCAGGCCCGGTCGTGAGCCACGCCTCCCAACCTTCCCACCCCCCCCCCCCCCCCGGTAGTGGAGCTTGTGTGTGCGCACGCGCAACACGGACGCCTGTGCGTGGGGTTTTCACTCGGGGCCTGGCCACCGTCCCTGAGCATACTCAAGGCCGGCCCTGACGTCTGTCATCCTAAGCTAACCCAGGAGGCCGAGATCGGAGGACCCCGGTTCGAAGCCAGCCCTGGCAGGAAGGTCCCCGAGATCCTGAGCTCCAGTGAACCTCAAAAGCCCGGAAGTGGCGGTGTGGCTCAAGCAGTAGAGAACCAGCCCAACCTTGAGTGAAGAATCAGATCGCGGCAGCCCCCAGGCCCTGAGTTCAAGCCATAGGACCTGCACACAATAAGGAAAATAAAAGAGAAATGCCCGGCGGGCGGGCACTCTCCCACTTGACTTGAGCCACAGCTCCACTTGCGGCTTTTTTTGGGTGCTTAATTGGAGATGAGTCCCGGGGTTTTCTGCTCAAACTAACCTCCAGCTGGGATCCTCACAGCTCAGCCTCCTGAATAGCTAATATTACACACTTGAGCCACCAGGCCCTGCTATATCCAAATATAATTTTAAAGCAATGAAACAATTGTCTTGGTATCTGCCTTCCCGTGATTATGGATGTGAGCTGGGTGTGAGCCACGAGGCCCCAGCTAAATTGCTTTTTCAAAAATCTAACAATCCCTAAACACTCCTATTATTAATTTCACTAATTTACTGATGAAAAACCCTTGAACTTAGTGTTTGAGTTACGCATTTTAGGTTTGCTCTAGAAAGAGGATGTTGAATGTTGCCACAACTGAGAAATAGTAAATGTTTTAGAAGGGAGATGTGTTAATCCTGATTTAAACATGACATAATGTACACATTTCTAGAAATATGCTCCATAAGTATGTATATGTTTTATGCATCAGTTAAAAATTTAACTTTTATCACCTGGTATGAGTTGCGCACATCTGTAATCCTAGCTACTCAGGAGGCTGAGATTTCATTATTGCAGTTCAAAGCCAGACCATAAGGAAAGTTAATGAGACTCTTTGCCAACCAGTAAAAAGCCAGAAACTGGGACTGTGGCTCACATGATAGACCACTAGCCTTGAGCAAAAATAGTTTAAGTACTGCACCTGTGTACAAGCCCCAGGACTGGCATCAAAAAAAGAAAAGGATTAACTTTTTTTGAACTGTGGCTGTAGTTCTAGAGGTAAAGTGCTCTATTGAGAAAAGAAAAAAAAGGCCTGAAATATGCTCAAAACCAAAGACAGAGTATAAACCCAGGCTTCTATGATCCATCCATGCAAGTAGATGACTTAAGTATAGTAGATATCACTTGATAGATGCTACTCCGTCACTACACTAAAATCTAAATCTTGTTCTTCCAGCAGCCAGAGCAGCAAAGGGTCAGTATTAGTAGGTACTAAACTATAGTTTTCCTTTACCAAGAGAATACTAAATGGTGTGTAGCTGTATTGAATAGCCGTCCAGGAAGGAGTAGAGCTAAATATCAATGTCCTTAATTTATGCATTATAATGTACATTAGTTAGTGGTCATTCCATCTGTAATTTCAGTCAGATAATATACAAATGGCAATGTTCAGCACTTGCTTATAAAGGATGACTGAGTGAGCTAACACAAGCTTTTTTTCCTTGACTCTAGGACCATATTTTTTTGGTATTCAGAAAAATCTACCCTAATCTCATAATTTTTGCTGGGCTAGCTTAGTTCTCTTGCTCTGCTTCACAGCTAGTTGGAGTTACAGAATGTGCCCTCCAAAGGGACTTTTTTATTTTTACCAAGCTCTGTTAGTGTGAGTATAGACAGATAGATGTGTGTGTGTGTGTGTTACATGTAAGTAAGAATTGTAGCCCAGGCTGGCTTGTGTTCAAAATACTTCTCAAAGCCTCCCAAAGGCTGAGATTTCAGGCATATGTTACCATACCTGGGTTTATCTTGACATGTTTTTAACAAGAAATAATGACTAATGCTGAATAACTCATTAATGTCTTATATTTTCTTTAGGTTGTGCTCCATCTCCAGGTGCTTATGATGTTACTGTCTCTGAAGTATCTAAAGGACCAGTATCTTTTCAGAAATCTCAAAGATTTAAAAAACAAAAAGGTAATGAGTTTTAAAATAGAACAATGGTAACATGAACTTTTAAGTTTTAAAGCTGTAAGTAACTATATGTAAAGGTACATTTCTAAAGATGAACAGCCCAAACTATATTTAGACTATTTTGTTTGATGGATTTATGGAAGGCTTAACGACAGAATAATGCTTTCTTTTTCTTTTTCTCAGTGGTGGGGCTTGAACTCTGGGCCTGTGTGCTTTCCCTGAGCTCTTCAGCTCAAGGCGAGCACTCTATCGCTTGAGCCATAGGGCCACTTCCAGTTTTCTGGTGGTTAATTGGAGATGAGTCTCACAGACTTTGCTGCCCAGGCTGGCTTTGAATTGTGATTCTGAGATCTCGGTCTCCTGAATAGCTGGCATTACAGGCGTGAGCCACCAGCACCCAGCTTTCATCTTTATAGTATGCATAACCAAGAAAATTAAGCAACCCTTTCTGTCATAATACTACAAAAATCAGAAAGGTGTTAGATATGTAAAAATATTATACAGTTAGTTGGAAATGTACAATCAAAAGAATGTTGACTTATTAATAGTAGCAGTAAGAAATCTGGAAATTTATGTTTCATATATGGTTAAAGCATGTAAAACCCAACCATAATCGTTTCAATTCATTTTTCTGAAGAATCTCAACAAAATCTTGATGACACAGACACTACCTTGCCTACTTCAGCTAAAAGAGCTAAGACTGTGGGATTAAAGGTGAGAAACTTTTATATAATAGCTCAACTGTATCAAAAAAATATGTTAAGTGTATAAATCAAAGTTGTAAGTAAATCTACCAACTAATTAAGTTATCATTAGGACTCTGGCAAGTTTTTTAGTCTCCTCAGTGATTACTAAATCCACTATGTTTATGCCCTAAGATCATAATTACAAAATACTCTACTTCTGAGTCATTTTTTATATCTAGATAAATTTCTTATTGCTTTTTTTTTTTTTTGGCCGGTCGTGGGGCTTGAACTCTGGGCCTAGGCGCTGTCCCTACGCTCTTCAGCTCAAGGTGAAAGTTCTACCGCTTGAGCCTTAGCACCACTTCCGGTTTTCTAGTAGTTTATTGGAGATAATAGTCTCACAGACTTTCCTGCCCGGGCTGGCTTTGAACTACGATCCTCAGATCTCAGCCTCCTGAGTAGCTAGGATTACAAGTGTGAGCCACCAGCGCCCAGCTTAAATTTCTTATTACTTTTTTAGCCTTTATAAATCATATTATACTCTGATCTGTCAGTCACCACTGTCTGAGTTGTTTTGTTTTCTGTTTGTTTTGTTTCTGGGGAAGGCTAGGGATTGGTGGAAAAGAAGAAATATTCCAATGCCTAACGGAGTTACTTGGAAACTGTTAAGGTAGTGGTGGGAGGATAGATTTCTTAGTAATTTTGTGACAGTTGCTGTGTCCTATTAATATTTTCATTTGTTCATAAATAGGCAACTTTGCTTTCTTAAGGAGTTGCACATATTAGCATATTATCATGTGACAAAGATTCAGAGTTAGGAGTCCAAAGCTATAGGTTATAGTTGAACTGTTTACTTTTTTGGCAGTTACTTAAATCTCTGGATTTGCAGTATAGAATAATTTGTTCCATTGTGGAAGTGAGTAGCCGTATGTGGCCGTTAGGTATTTGAAATACTGCTAGTGCATAATCCATAAACCTCCACCTGTTATTTTCATCAGGCTTCTTAGGAAAAACTACAGATGTATTGCAAACTTTTTAACCTGAAATATTTTGAGATTTTAAAAAACTTCGCTTTCATTTACGAGAGAAGCTAACTATATTTCATGAACCCCTTGAAATGTTTAAGCTAGAAATGAATCCAGGTGTGGTAGCCCATGCCTTTAACTCTAGCACATAAGAGACTAAGGCAGTATTGTGAGTTTGAGACCAGCCTGGCTACATAGTAAGGCACTACACAAAAGATCAAATAAAGAAAAATTACTTGTTTAGAACATTTAATTTTTTTTTAATTTAAAAATCAAGTTTGGCTGTGATGTTTGTGGCACTTGTTTATTTATAATTCTTCCTTGGCTTTTAAACAGAAGGAATCTCAAAAGAATGATAAAGATTTGAAGAGTTTAGAAAAAGAGGTAAGCAATTCTTTCTTGAAATGCTTTTTTTTTTCGTGCTTTATTGAATAATAATTCAATAATAATAATTGCCAACTACATTTGTTTTTTGTGCCAGTTCCTGGGATTCAAACTCATGGCCTGGGTGCTGTTTCAGTTTTTTTGTTCATGGCTGGTCCTACCAATTTAACCAGAACTCTACTTCCAGCTTTTTTTCTGGTTAATTGGAGACAAAAGTCTCATGGACTTTCTTACCCAGGCTGGCTTCAGTCTGTTAGCCTCAGACCTCAGCCTTCTGAGTAGCTAGGATTACTAGTGTGAGAACCTGTCCATATGGCTGTTTTTAAATAATGTTGAACACCACCAAGAACTCAGTTCACGTTTTGCTTATCACTTTTTAACTGCTCAGTTAGCCACCAATGGTAAACAGCTGCTCTATTCAACAGTACCTTTCTCTTAAAGCAGAATTTTCTGTAGAACAATGCTGCCCTAAATTCATTTTACCTCCTTAATGATGCTAAGCTGCTCAATGTAACTTTACTTTTCTACCAGTCTACAAGTTCCTGTTGTTCACTGTTCTGGTAATTACATTCTTTTTTTTTTTTTTTGTCCGGTTGTGGGGCCTGAACTCTGGGCCTGGGCGCTGTCCCTCAGCTCTTCAGCTCAAGGCTAGCGCTCTACCACTTGAGCCACAGCGGCACTTCTGGCTTTTTTCTTTTTGCTTATATGGTGCTGAGGAATCGAACCCAGGGCCTCAGGCTTGCAAGTCAAGCACTCTACCACTGAACCACCTTCCCAGCCCGGTAATTACATTCTTTATTCTAAATTAAGCATTTGGTTACTGTCAAATGCTAATTTAGGACCGAGAACATAGATAATTGCATGCCTCTGTTCTGGTTGCCCTGATGTGCTTTACTTTAAATGATAATTGGCTATTATTTTACTGAGGATCCAGGCCAAAGCAGATATATTCAGTGATAGTCACCATGCAATAACTGAGTCTCAGTGGCATAGCTAGGGACCAGTGGTGGTGCCAGGATTAGAACTGATCATTTGCATCAGTTACTTCACTGGATATAGAATTTTAGGTTGGCAAACTTTGCCCCAAACTCACCCCCTCCACCCATCAGACCTGGGGTTAGAACTAAGGGCCTCATTACAAGAAGAGCAGGCCATTGGAGCCACATACCCACTATGGCTTGCACACTTTTTTGTTTACAGATATTTATTTTTGTGTTACTGATATTAATAGGACCAATACTGCAGTCTACTTAGAACCTCAGCACTGCCTCTATGAAAGGAATTAGCATTTCAAAGTAAAATTCAAATTTGTGTAATTTGACTGAATGAAAACTAGAACTTTCATGTCTTAGAAGTAAATAAACAGCTGCATTGTACTTAGAAGTTTATGGCAAGTATAATCCTTGTGTTCTTTGGGGTAGAAAGAAGTATGGCTCAAGTTAGTAGAGCTGAGCCACCATTGTAGCTGAGCATTCAGTCTAAGCTAGACCTCAAGGACCTCAGTTTCATCCCCAATACTGCCCAACACACACACACACACACACACACACACACACACACACACACACACACACGTAAAAAAATACATTAAAAGTGATTATTCACAAAGCAAGTAAAATAGTAACTGTGGTTGGGTGCTGGTAGCTCATACCTGTAATCCTAGCTACTCAGGAGGTTGACATCTGGGGATTGTGGTTCAAAGTCAGCCTGGACAAGAAAGTTCATGAGATTCCCCCCCCCCCCCCCCCCCCCCCCCCGGGCCAGTTGTGGGACTGGGTGCTGTCCCTGAGCTCTTCAGCTTAAAGCAAATGTGTACTCTACCACTTGAGCCATAGCACCACTTCCAGTTTTCTGGTGGTTAACTGGAGATAAGAGTGTTACGAACTTTCCTGCCTGGGTAGCCTCCTGAGTAGCTAGGATTCATGAGATTCTTTTTTTTTTTTTTTTGGTCCGGTTGTGGAGCCTGAACTCTGGGCCTGGGCACTGTCCCTTAGCTCTTCAGCTCAAGGCTAGCACTCTACCACTTGAGCCACAGCGCCACTTCCGGCTTTTTTCTTTATGTTTATGTGGTGCTGAGGAATTGAACCCAGGGCCTCATGCATGCAAGGCAAGCACTCTACCACTGAGCCACCTTCCCAGCCCAGGATTCATGAGATTCTTATCTCCAGTTAATTAACAAAAAGTTGGAAGAGGAGCTGTGGCATACTGAGTGGTAGAGCTCTAGCTTTAAGGAAAATAGTTCCAAGGACAGTGCCCAGGACTGGCACCAAAAAAAAGTATCTGAGTATAATGTCAAAATATATGTCCTTTCTAGAGACCTTACTGCTGTTATTACCGGTAGCATCTACTTTTATTGCACTATATTAGTGAATCATTTATTATCAACTTCTTTTCTTAAGATTCGTGTTCTTGTACATGAACGTGGTACTCTGGGCAAGCAGATCCAGGATATGGAATCTGCGTTGGAGAAAATGGAAGCAAAACTAACTGCTGCAGTCAGGGAAAAAACAACTCTGTCTGCAAATAATGCTTCACTGGAAAAACAGCTTATGGAACTAACTAGAGCAAATGAACTACTAAAATCTAAGGTACTTGAACCTCACAATAACTAAAATTGAGTAATAAGCTTGTCTTTTTCAAATAGGATTGTGTCTTTTTATTAGTGAATCTGGCACATAAGAGGTTTTAAATAAATTACATTTTGTTATAATGTTTTGAAATCTTCTCACCTTCCCTCCAAATATGACCGTTAATAAAAATCACAGAATTTGTATCTTAAAGTTACGTAACAGATTGATCTCTCCCCTCCCCTTTCTTCCTCCCTCTTTTTCCTTCTCCCCCCTTTCCCCTCTCTTCTCTCCTTTTTCCCTTCTCCTTTCACCCTCCCTTCTCCTCTCTCATCTCTCCTCTCTCTCTTCCTCCTCAGAAAGGGAGTAAAAGTGCACAAGAATCAGAGAAGAGAGTAGATTTCTTGGTCCTACCCAAGGGAGATTATGTGTTAGGAGACCTAGGATGGGCCTCTACAGACTGCATATTTCAAGAATACGATGCAATTTAAGATTAATTTTGTTAAGGATATTTGATAAATTTCTCAGAGACCCTTGATGTGGACCTATAAAGGTAAATACTTAAGTATACTTAAAGTATAAAAGTAAATGCTTAAGGTACTTCAAAAATAAACTAGAAAGTCCACTAAGAGGAAGAAAAAACAAAAATAATACTAGCAGTTACAGGTAGCAATTATGGTTGAAAACTACTTTCTCTATCAGTAAAGTACATTTCAGGCAAGTATAGCTACAGTGATAGAATAATTAAAGTCATTATATATGACTTAGCAGAAAACATTTCTAAAGTTTTATGTCTATTGTGCTTAGTTTACTGATGATGGTAACCAGAAGAATATGAGACTTCTCAGCCTGGAGTTGATGAAACTTAGAAACAGAAGAGAAGCAAAAATGAAGGTAAGTGCTACCTTGGGTAAGTTAACTGTCTACATTAGAGATGTAAGCAATTTCTCATTTCCTAAAACAAACATCTCTCTCTTATGTAGAATATGATGGCTAAACAAGAAGGCATGGAAGTGAAGCTACAGATGACTGAAAAGAATCTGGAAGAGTCTAAAGGGAAAATAGCACAACTTGAGGGGAAACTGTAAGTGACTAAAAGGAAAGAGAAATTAAGTATAAATGTATTTTTTTCCTTATTAAAGTGATCCATGAAAACAAAGTTGCACATATTTATGGGGGTGCTATTTTGTTTCAGTGCACATGTATAATGTTATATTTAAATTAAGCTAATTGATAGATAGTGTTACATCTGTATAGTGAACAAAATCAGTATGTATTAACATCACCTTTTTCATTTTACTTTTTAGTGTTTCAATAGAGAAAGAAAAGATTGATGAAAAAGCTGAAATAGAAAAACTCTTAGAATACATTGAAGAAATTAGGTAATATGAATAATAGCTGTTATTATAATAATAATTGTGCCTTATTTTTCTGAACACCGATGAATGTGTCATTTTAATGATTGGCTGAGATTTTCCCTGTCTTAAAGGGATATAGTCTTCAAAACCATGTGTTTTAATGCAGTTGTGCATCGGATCAGGTGGAAAAATACAAGGTAGATGTTGCCCAGTTGAAACAAGACTTGAATGAGAAGAACCATGAAGTTTTAAATCTCAAGGAATCTATGGAGGAAAAAGTTGTATTAGCTAAACAAGTAGAAGAACTCAATGCTAAATGTCAGCTACTTGAAAAAGAAAAAGGTATTTTGGTGTTTATACTTTGATAGTTTTTTACTTAGTTTTATTTTTTGAGAAATCTTATATGCCATATTTAAGAAAAGTACTGCTTTGTTAAAATAGCTTTTTTAATACTTATGTAAAAAATAGCTTGTTCTTTATTTGTAAGTGTTTAACTTATATAATATTTTTTCTTAGCTCTATATATTATGTTCCTGGCTTAAAAAATAGTATATAATGTGTACTATTATGGTAATGATACGAATTTCATAATATGAGGAGTCTTCCCCCCATAACATACTAAAAGGGTATATGGAAACGTAGGACTCTGATAATGTTATTGAACGGGGTGCCAGTGGCTCACATTTGTAATCCTAGCTACTCATGATACTGAAATCTGAGGATGCAGGTTTTAACTCAGCATAGGAAAGTCTGTGAGACTGTGAGAAGTAGAGCTGTGTCTCATGTGGTGGTGCAGTGGCCTAGGAGCAGAAAAGCCAAGGGACAGGTTAGCTGAGTTCAAGCCTCAGTACCCAGTACCAAAAGACAAAAGTAATGTTATTTTTTAGTTAACAATGTCCCTAATGTTTTCCTATATAGATGACCTCATCAACAAGAATAGAGAAAGGGATGAAAATCTAAATGCTGAGATACAAGACTTAAAAACGAAGCTTATTCTTAAGAAACAAAAGTATGAAAAATTACAACAAGAAAATTTGAAAATTGAGTCACTTCTCCAACAAGAGAAGGTAAGTTGTCTCCAATGTTGGGAAAAAAAATGTTCTTAATATGTCATAAATTTCCCTATATGTTAGTCTTTGTATATATTCTTTAATAATTTTAATTTTAGACTCTTAGCCTGAGTCAGTAATCATAAATACACTGACTACTATAGGTAAAGATCTTTACAATATGTCATTATAAGGTTAGTAGATATATACAAAAGAAAAATAATGTATATGACAAAATAGGAAATGAAAACTTTTTACTAGGATATTTTTGTGTTAGACAGGCTATATAGATATTTTCAGCTTGAACTCAGGACCTGGCCAGGCACTGCCTTTGAGCTTTTTCTACCACTTTGAGCCACAGTGCCACTTCCTGGTTTCTGGTGGTTAATTGGAGATTAGAGTCTCACGGACGGGCTGGGAATGTGGTTTAGTGGTAGTGTGCCTGCCTAGCATGCATGAAGCCCTGGGTTCGATTCCTCAGTACCACATACACAGAAAAAGCCAGAAGTGGTGCTATGACTTACATGTCAAAGTGCTAGCCTTGAGCAAAAAGAAGCTCAGGGACAGTGCCCAGGACCTGAATTCAAGCCCCATGACTGGCAAAAAAAAAAAAAAAAAGAGTCTCACGGACTTACCTGAATTGTGCTCCTCAGATCTCACCCTCCTCAGTAGCTAGGCTTACAGGTATCTGGCTACAGTTGAATAAATACAGAGGAAAAATAACATAAAATGCAGGTACATAAAGAAAAATTTACTTATTTCTTTTTTTGTTTTGTTTTTTTCCTTTCTGGTTGGTCCTGGGGCTTGAACTCTGGACCTGGGTGCTGTCCCTGTGCTCCTGTTACTCAAGGATAACACTCTACTACTTGAGCCAAAAGGGCCACTTCCAGCTTTTTCTGTGATTAATTTGAGAAAAGAGTCTTACAGACTTTCCTGTCGGCTTTGAATCGTGATCCTCAGATCTCATCCTCCTGAATAGCTAAGATTACAGGTGTGAGCCAGGAGTGTCTGGCTCATAGAAGTATTTTTTATCTGACATTAGAACCATAGTATACTAGTATATGAGAAAAGTATATTAAAATATCGATTATAGGCTGGGAAGGTGGCTCAGTGGTAGAGCGCTTGCCTTGCATACCAGAGGCCCCAGGTTCGATTCCTCAGCACCACAAAAGCAAAAAGAAAAAAGCCAGAAGTGGTGCTGTGGCTCAAGTAGTAGAGTGCTAGCCTTGAGCTGAAGAGCTGAGGAACAGCGCCCAGGCCCAGAGTTCAGGCCCCATGACCGGACCCAAAAAAAAAAAAAAAAAAAGAATCGATTATAAAACATACATAGAGGGGCTGAGAAAGTGGCTCAGTGGTAGAGCACTTGCCTTGCATGCCTAAGGCCCTGAGTTCGATTCCTCAGCACCACATAAGCAAAAGAAAAAAAAAAGCCGGAAGTGGTGCTGTGGCTCAAGTGGTAGAATGCTAGCCTTGAGCTGAAGAGCTGAGGGACAGTGCCCAAGCCCCACGACCGGACCCAAAAAAAAAAAAAAACATACATAGATGTAGTTTCTATTTTACAAAAGCTTTTTTGGGAGTGTTTGTTTTTTTTTTTTTTTTTTCAAAAACTTGAAAATCACGTCAGAATGTTAAGATATAGACCAGCATGTGTAAAAGTGAATATAGTTAGTATATATGCTTTGTAATATTTCTGTGAAACTTTTGGATTTAGATTGCACAGTACTTGTGTCTTTGGAAAAATCTCAAAGTAATTTCATATTGTTTTCTGTGTTGAATACAGGAATTATCTTCTAGTCTTCAGCAGAACCTATCTAATTGTCAAGAAGAAATTATCAAAGAAAGGGAAAACTTTAAAGAAGAACTAAAATCAACATTAGATGAGCTGGAGGAAGCACAGCAAAAGGACTTCCAGACTGAAATACTGATCAACCAGTTAGAAGTGGACACCAGATCTGCAAAAAGAGAGCTAAGAGTCCTAAAAGATCAACTGGCACAGTTTGTATTCACAATATCTCAAACTTATACATGACTTTAGATGTGAAAGCATTCTCTAGTGTTTTCTTAAGATTCTCAAAATGCAAAAGAATAAGTTGTTTCAACCCTGGATAACAATGTTATATAGGCTAAGTCTTCATAATTCTGTAACTGTTTTCAAAGAACCATTAAAATATCTTTCACTGTACTTAATATTTTCTGTATAACTTTCCGTACTGTATATTTTCTGTACTACATACAGAAGTTTAAACTTCATTAAATCCAGGTGCTTTGTAACTGGTAATCCTTGTATTCTTTACTCTTTCCTGCTGCTATAAAATTGTTTTAGAGTCTCTTTAATTCTACCCAGTAAGTTTTAAACTGCCAGTATAAATGTATATGATGTGGAATGATAAATTTAATAACTAATGAATTTAAAACAAAAGTAAAATAAAGGAGTTAGAGGTGTAGCTCAGGTGGTAGAGTGCCTGCCAATAAGCAGAAAGCAAGTTACAATTCAAGTTCCATCTTGGACCAAAGAAAAAAATAAAATATAAGCAGTAAAGATGAGATGAAACCAGTCAATAAATTAATATATTAAAGAAACAACACAAAAAACTTGTTCCAGAAATAAAGGGTGAGCCCATTCCATTCTGACCAGGACATGATTATGAGCTAAGGACACCTCAGGAGTGGTTGTGAGGATTAAGGAGGTGATTCTTTGAAGCCTCATCCTAGCTCATGGTTTGGTAAACATGGAATAATGGATAGCCATGGATGAAAAATTGCTAGTGGCACTCTTCAGTATATCTAATTATATCTGTACAAGACATTTTTAACTATCAAACCTGATTGATCTACAAGTTTCTTTTGATTTTGGGAAAAAAAATGAGAATAATAAAATACTATAAGAAACTTGGTGATGAGCATGCATGTGATTCCAGCACTAAGGAGAGGGGGGAGGATGAGCATGAAAATAAAAGCCTGCCTGGACTAAGTAGTGACACATCAGCTACAAAAAGAAAAGAATGCTGTTAGAAGGCATAAGTTTGAGTCCAGATATGATACGAAGGCTAGAGCAATGAAACGTGATTCCATTTCAATGCATTCTCTTAAGAGTAATGATTTGATGGAGGGATTGAAGAGCGATGTTTCTCTAAATGCCTATATTTTATCTTCTCATTTTTCTATTTTCTTAGGAAAGAAGCTGAACTGGAGAACAATAATACTGCTCATTTACAGGCTACCTTGATTTTGCAGGGAACTTATAATAGTACATTGAGAAACCTTGAAGATGTTAATGTTCAATTTGAAAGGTATTAATCTTATTCTACTTACATAAAAGTTTCCCTTTCCCAGGCAAACATAGTGATCATAACACTTGTAATCTCAACACTTGGTAGGCAGAGGAAGGAGGTGATAGCAAGTTTGAATCCAACCTCACTTACTCCCTTCAATCTCACCAAAAACACCCAAAACACTTTTGATCTCTTTGTAGCTGTGTCATACCATTCAATCTGGCACCTTAAGCCAAAATTCTATTCTTCCTCACAGTTGTTCGGTAGATTTGCACACGGTACTGTCTGCACACTGTATTCACTTCTATATATTTTTTCCCTCTTTTAAAAAAAATATGCTAGCGGCTTACACCTGAAATCCTAACTATATTCAGGATGCTGAGACCTGAGGATCACATTTTGAAGCCAGCTGAGGTCGAAAGTCTGAGAGACCTCCAGTTTGCCAGCAATAAGCCAGAAGTGGAGGTGTAGCTCAATAAGCACCGGCCGTGGACAGAAAAGCAAGAGAGTGAGGCCCTGAGTTCAAGCCCCAGTACTGACACACAATGGAAGTTTGATTGTAAAAGTTGGGGAAATGCATTGTACATTTTTTACTTGAAATATTAATCGTAATGTTTCTATCTGGTATATTAATAGTAATGTTTCCATTTACAGTTGTTCTTTTTCACTTGAACTCCAGGCTTCCGTGCTGCCCTGAGCTTATGTGCTCAAGGTAGAGCCACAGCACCACTTCTGGTTTTCTGCTGGTTAATTGGAGATAAGAATCTGAGACTTTCTTGCTTGGGCTGGTTTTTGAACTGCCATCATTAGATCTTAGCTTCCTGAGATAGCTAGGATTGCAGGTGTAAGCCACAGGTACCTAGCTATTTATTTACCTTTTATTTTGGGAGAAGATTCCTCTGCTCATTAATAAAAGAATGTCCAATTTTTTACATGAATTATAAAAAGACAAAATCAACACATAAGAGACTATACAAGACAGTTAGCCAAAGAATTTTCAACAGTTTTGTATATTTATATATTCTGTTTCTGCCTTCCCAGATCAGATAAGACTTTCTTGAGGCCTTAATTTATCACTGATTTTTACCTTATGTATTACAATTTGATAACATATGTTCATACAGAAAGGCATTATCTAATTTTCTTTTGTCTCAGTGCCAGCAAAATGCATTGTCATAGCATTAATGTCCTGGGATTTGCCTTTTCATTATGAATTATTTTCTAGAATCATACTACATTTGTTTTATTGAGCTAAAATTTGCTCATGGTTAAGCTGTGACTCTTTGCTTATATGAACACTGTCACTTTGGGATTATTTCTCACTTTTATGAAACTAATAGCATAGGTTGTTTCTCTATTACACATATGTATAAATTTTTCTCTGCTACTATCCAATTTAGAATTTAGTACTATCACTTTCCAAAGTTGATATGAATCTATACTCCTGCTAGTGATGTATAACTTTATTTAATGTATCTTAGTGAAGAACTTCTTCCTGTTCTAAGAACCTAAAGATACTCACAAATGCCTATATATTGTATGTATTATGATATATATGCTCATGTATTATAAATATTTTATATCAACAATGTTATATATAAAATATAGGGAGATGCCTATATATATATGAAATATGTACATATATATGTATTATTAATCTCAATCCTTTTAAGGAATTCTCACTAGTTTAATAAACAGATCTGTAAGTGATTTTTATTGATTCTATAATTTCACTCACTATAAATACTCTAATGCCCTTAAAATGTGCTTCTTCAAAGCAGATCTTTTCCATTCCATTTCTGTCTCTCTTACATCTTCAAATAGATATCTCACTATCACCTAGTGCTGATCTGAACAATGTAGTTCTTGGTCTTTCCATTTGGTTCTGCTTCTAGTCTCTCCTTTTTTATTGTTGTGTTTTCATTGTAGTAGGTGACATTTTCATCCTCCCCACTTCTCATTCCATAAATCTACGCCTCATTCTTTATTATTTTCTCTCTTTAGCCTTTGCATCCGGGCTATGTATGTCACAATTTTCTATAATGTCTATAAAAGAGTCTTACATCTTTCTATTGTCAGCATATCAATCCTTTCTCTCACCTGGCTAATAAATAATTATCTATTAATTTTCTAATTTTTCTTCCTATACTTCTTTGTATAATCATCTCTGGAGTAGTCCACATACTTACTTGGAGACCTTTACTAGGGCCTCATATTCCTCAAGTATCTCATTATGCTCTGATATGGTGATCATTGTTCACCTCTAACCCCTTCTCCAGCCTATCATTCATGAGCCTTTTTCTCACCTTGTAGAGGACTATGTTCTTTCTATCTCTTAACTTACTATCCAGAGTGCAGGATCCCCTATTCTATCAGCTTAAAACCTTTTGTACTTTCCCTTCCTAACACATATTTCAAAAGTGTTTGTAATTATATATTTATTTACCTGTTTTTTATGAAGGACCATAAACTCTGACAGTAGATTCAGAGATTGTGTTGTGAAGTAATTTTTATGTTTGATAGTTAATTTCATCTCTGTATGTATACTTCCTTTACATCGTAGCCACATGATTTTGTTTTCATTGAACAATAAATGTCTTGTAAGAGACTCATTAGTACTTAATTCTGAACGTTGAATTCTTACCTGTGTAAGTGCATGAGTATATTAGATGGTTCTGTTTGTTTTACTGGAAAGTACCTAAAATAGAAACTAGGTATATGCATGAATGATGCACATTTAATATGCTACTTTTTCCTTTTAATAAGCTATAAAGCAGCAAAAGCAAGTGAGATGGAAGCTCTTAAACTGGAGAATGCATCTCTCCAGGAAAAAGTAGCCAAAGCTGAAAAGCATGCACAGGATGTTCAACATCAGATAGTGACAACAGAAAGCACCAATCGAGAATATGCAAGGTAGGTAGAACAAGTAACATTTCCATCCCCGCAGCCTTAGGCAAGGATTCTTCCCTAAAGAAAGAGGACTAGTAGGAAAGTGGGACAAAAAGTAATAAGAGAAAGGATATGATCAAAAGTTCATTATATACATTTACAACAATATAATGGGATCCATTTTAACATGTCCTTCCCCCCAAAACCTAATCAGCTGAAGGAGGTTTTAAAATAGGTGCCAGTGGTGCTTGAAATGCTGGACTCCTGATATATGGTATGTTTATAAAACTAAACATGCACATGGAGGGGGAAAAAGATTAAAAGGATAGACTTCTTAAGTTCCTTTAGGATTTTTTAAAAGAAATTAATGAAATGTCTATAAAATGTCTAGTAGATTCTTTTTCTCTCAAATTCCAGGATGCTTGCAGATCTCCAGAAGGAGTCTGCACTAAAAGAAGCAGAAATTAAGGAAATCACAGATAGTTCACTTAAAAAGATTACTGATTTGCAGAACCAACTCAAACAAGAAGAGGAAAATGTTAAGAAGCAACTAGAAGATGAAGAAACAAGGTAAATCAGATTTAGAACTTGAGTGCCATGTATTTTTTTGTGAGTATATGCCAGTCCTAGAGCTTGAACTTGGGGCCTGGGCACTGCCCCTGAGCTTTTGTGTTTAAGGCTAGTGCTAAACCACTTGAGCTGTAGCCTCAAAAGCCTTACCAGTTTTGATTTTTGGCTCTTTGGTGGTGAGAGTCTTGCAGATTTTTCTGCCTGGACTGGCTTTGAACTGTGATGCTGTGATCGTCAGATCTCAGCCTCCTGAGTAGCTAGGATTACAGGTGTGAACCACTGGAGCCTGGAGTCTAAATAATAGTTTTTAATTTAATTTTACCATGCAGGAAATCTGAGAAAGAAAATAAAGTGGCGGAATTAACAGAGGAAGTGAATAAATGGCGTCTCCTTTATCAGGAACTATATGAGAAAACCAAACCTTTCCAGGTTTGTCACATAGAAGTAAACTTGTTTGTATTTATTTTAGGAATTCACTTTTTTTCCTCTGAAAAAAAGTGATTGGTTTTGCTGAAGGGTCACTTTTAATATATGCATTTATTGTTCCAATTTCCTATTAAAAGTTCATAAATTTTATTATAACTTTTCTCCAGCTTTATTAAGAAATAATTGACAGATACACATAAATTTTTAATGTAACCTAAATTAACATATTTTAAAAAATAGTTTGAAGGTAATAGGCCAGAAGGCTCTCCTGATATGTACATTGATAATTTATGTCGCTTTGTAAAATGTATTTTTTACAGTATTTGTGTTTTACAAATTGATGCACTGATCTTTTTAAAAGAAAAAATAGTATAAATGTTAATTTGGACTTTTAGAGTAGAAATACATGTGAATTATAGAGTGATGATATAGTTGATACAGATAGAGGGAGGTGGCTGGCTATTTCCTTTCCTCTAAGTTGTTTGTTTTGTTTTTGCTTTTGTTTTAAATGGGATTTTTTTGAGGCAATGTCTCGATATGTAAGCCAGCTCAGGCCTCAAGCCTGCAATCCTCCTGCCTTGGCCTTCTGAGTGCTGAGTTGTATGTGAAGTGTGTATTACAACTTTGGCCTTTTTTCTTCTCAATGACCTTTAAAATAAAAAAATTAAGAGTTTCAGCTGGGCTCGGGTGGCTTATGCCTATAATCCTAGCTACGAAGGAGGCTGAGATCTGGGAATCAAGGTTCAAAGCAAGCCTGGGCAGGAAAGTACGTGAGACTCTTATCTCCAATAAACCATTCAGAAAACCAGAAGTAGTGCTGTGGCTCAAGTGGTACAGCACTAGCCTTGAGCTCAAGAGCTGAGGGACAGTGCCCAGGCCCAGAGTTAAAGCCCCATGACTGACCCAAAAAAAAACAACTTAAGAGTTTCCTAGAAGTATCTTAGAGCCTTTTATGTAAGAATACTCTTGATTTGCTTATTGGTTTCTTTATTTTCATGATTTAAAAGAAGCTAATAAGATTTAACATAATTTCAACTTTTTTTTTTTTTTTAGCAACAACTGGATGCATTTGAAGCAGAGAAGCAGGCACTATTGAATGAACATGGTGCAACTCAGGAACAGCTGAATAAAATAAGAGATTCCTATGCGGAACTATTGGGTCATCAGAATCTAAAGCAAAAAATCAAGCATGTTGTGAAATTGAAAGATGAAAATAGCCATCTTAAGTCGGTTTGTAAAATAGTGTTATTTTCATTAAGGATATGGATAAAGGGTTTATTTGCCTCTCTGGGGTGACACCATTACCTCATGAAGCAGAACAGCATTTTTAACACATGTGCCTAAGTAGAATTCCTGTACTACAATTAAGGCTGATCAAAATCGCTTCTTTCTCCACCTCAACTACAATTTCTAGGGCAGAACCTCAGCAACTGGTTGCTGCTGGCAACACCAACTGTGATGCCCTACTCCTTCTGGGAAGAAGTACCTTATGGAAGTTGAGGAAAGAGGAAAGCTTCTATTCTTAGCTATAGCTTATAGCCTTTGCCCTGGAGTGTCTGCCTTAGCCAGCTTGGAGTGGAGAGGAAGGGAGCACGTGTGTGTGTGTGTGTGTGTGTGTGTGTGTGTGTGTGTGTGTGTGTGTGTGTGTGTGTGTGTGTGTGTCTGTTTCAGATATGATTTTACTATGTAGGCCAGCTTGCCCTTGAACTCTTGATCTCCTCAGCCTCCTGGTGTATCATCTTGCCCAGATATTCCCACAGTCATCCTTGATGGTCATTTTAATCCAAAAATGAATTTATGATAGAGACAAAGCTGCTCAAGACAAACTCAGAGGCTGGGTGTTATGGCACATGCCTCTGATTCCAGCTCTGGGATAGATAGAGGTTCAAAACCATCCCAGAAAAAAAAGTTACCAAAAAATTCAAACAGTGTTGGACATAGAGGAGATTATAAGGCCAACTCAGGCAAAAAAAAGTACAGGAACCTGTTTCTGAACGGATATTTTGCAATCTCTGACCTCACCTTTTCACAACCACACATCTGTGACTCTAGTGCTTTTGGCTTATAACTCACAGAGCCTTCATAGAGGATTAGCTGGGTGTGGGTTTTGAAAGTTGAAGGCCCCTAAGTTGCTTCTTTTTAAAAAAAATTTTTTTGAAGTAGAGGTACAAAGTAATTTCAGTTTTAAAAGTCAGATTGAGTATAATGCTTTTTTTTTTTTTTTTTTGGTCATGTATGGGGCTTGAACTTTTGGACCTGGGCGCTGTTCCTCAGCTCTTCGGCCCAAGCCTAGTGATCTAACACTTGAGCCACAGCACCACTTCTAGTTTTCTGGTAGTTTATTGGAGATGAGAGACTCATGGACTTTCCTTCCCAGGCTGGCTTTGAACCATGATCCTCAGATCTCAGCCTCCTTTGTAGCTAGGATTACAGGGGTGAGCCACCGGCACCTGGCAGTATAACGCATCTTGATCAGTATCACCCCTTACATTGTTTTCTCATCTCTCCCAATCATATCCATACCTCAAGTTCCATAGTTCCACCACTAAGTGGCTACTCTTTAAGGTTTACTCTCAAGTAGCCAGGGTTCTTTGTCAACCATGGAATTCTATTGTTCCTCACCCTGAGTTCTCTCCTAGATCTGTAATAGATGTCTCTTCATGTTTCCCCCAATGCCATTTTCACAGTTAGGTCTTAACTGTTTTTGCCTTTCTGATGTTAGTAGCATAAGGCATTTATGCTGTCAAGACAAAAGTTGATTTCCAATAGTAGACGGCTTGGTCAGGCTACCTGTCCTGTTTGTTTTGGTGCACTATTGCTTTATGATCGGTACTCCCTTAAAATCTAACTTTGAGCAGGACTCCAGTGGCTCACACCAATCAGGAGGCTTGAGATCTGAGGATCTCAGTTTGAAGCCAGCCTGGCAGGAAAGTCCATGAGACTCTTACCTTCAATAAACTCACAAAAAGCCAGAAGAGGCACTGTGGCTCAAGTGGTAAAGCACTAGTCTTGAGCACAAATTGGTTCAGGCCCTGAATTCAAGCTATAGGACCAGCACAAAAAAAAAAAAAAAAAGATAATCTACTTCTGCTTGAATAACTGCCATTTTGCTTGTCTTTCAGTAGTTTTAGGTTGAGCTTTTATTGCAAAAACAGCTTTGTAACTGTATGACAAATTTATCTATCATACCTGTTCCAAATTTTTTTTCCCCCCAGTCCTAGGGCTTGAACTCAGGGCCTGGGCACTGTCCCTGAGATTCGTTTGCTCAAGGCCAGCACTCTACCACTTGAGCCACAGTGCCACTTCCACCTTTTTGTGTTTATGTGATACTGAGGAATCGAACCCAGTGCTTCATGCATGCTAGGCAAACACTGTACAACTAAGCCACATTTCCAGTCCTTCAAGTCATTTTGTTATTTGATTTTGAAAGTATGTTTGGAATAGTTACTTTGCCACTAGCTATGATGCTGAACAACTTAGCCTGCAATATGGGTAATACATCTCTCCACTGTGATCTTTAATAGTTGTGTATTTTCTGTTTTTCTCACGTAGGAGGTGTCAAAACTCCAGTCTCAGCTTGCTAAAAGGAAACAAAGTGAACAAAAGCTTAAAGAAGAATTGAATAAAGTTCTGGGTATCAAACGCTTTGATCCATCAAAGGCTTTTCATCATGAATACAAAGAGAATTTTGTTAAAACCCCATTAAAGGAAGGTAAGAAATTAATACACGTATAGAGCTGTCACATATATGCATACACACACAATGTATATTTTGACCTAAATGTTTGTTCTATAATTTACTAATTTGTGGTCCTGGGAGAAAGACATCTTTTTTGACCTTTATATATTTCCAAAACCGGTGTGGAAATAATATAGAAATACAAATAAATTATGTTGCAGAACGTCAAGCATTGCTTCAGCTATCTTCAAAAAAAAACATGCGTTTTTGTTTATGATGATCATTTGAGCTTAAATAATATTTCTTTTTACCAATTTTTTCAGGTGATACAAACTGCTACTAAGCTCCTATGCAGTGTCAAGAATCATGCAAGAAGTATCAGAAATGTGCTGCCAAAGCCTATTGGGAATCATTTTATTTTTGTTGACTTTGTTGTTTTTATTAAATATGTTTATTCTGGATATTTGATAATATATTAAATTTTAACTGCTTATCTTTAGGTATATTAAATGAAGTTGCACATTTGTTTCTGAATATCTTCTGACACTGTTTTCTCTTATTAAGTATCTCTTTAGCATCTCATTCTGTCCTATCAAATTTGGCTTCCAATTTCCAGTACACACCACCAAATTTATATTTCTCTAAACATCACTATAAAATTGTTTTTCCTCATTGTTAGTTTCAGATTCAAGATCCCAAATTCTAATCCCCAGATTGGATTTTTTGCCTTGATTCTAGAGATAATTTTCTCTTTTTTTTTTCTTTCTTTTTTTTTTTTTTGGTCGGTCTTGGGGACTGAACTCTGCACCTGGGCTCTGTCCCTCAGCTCTTCAGCTCAAGGCTAGTACTCTATTGAGCCACAGCACGACTTCCTGTTTTCTGAGTGATTTATTGGAGATAAGAGTCTCACAGATTTCCCTTCCCTGGGCTGGCTTTGAACCATGATCCTCAGATCTCAGCCTCCTGAGTAGCTAGGATTTACAGGCATGAGCCACCAGCACCTGGCTGGAAATCATTTTCATCTGAGAAAAAACTAAAGCACCCTGGCTTGTGGCCTTTTCTTTGATTTACCAGTAATGTTCATTCTGCCCTCATCATTTGTGCATTTCAAATAAAATGAAGGGCACGACTGGCTCCATAGGAACCTTGTTACCTTGTGTCAGAGTCACTGAATTACTGAATGTACTGACTCCTGGGCATTACCTCAATTCTAGATTAAAGTCTGTAGTTTGGCCTCCACATGTAGCCTCTAGAGAATATGCCATCTGTATGTGTACTGAATATTTGTGTCATGTAAAGTAAAAACAGTCATTTGCTAAGTTATTTCATTTTCACTTGATGAAGCTCAACTAAAACTTGTATTCTGAATGTGTTTATTGTCTTTCCATCCCACCCTACCTTGCCCCAAGATTCACAAATGATACTGTTGAGAAAGTGGTGATTCTGCCTCTCCTCTGTCTGATTTGCAGAGTTGGTATGTAGTGTTTTGTTTTGTTTGGTTTTGCCAGTTGTGGGGCCTGAACTCTGGGCCTGGGCACTGTCCCTCAGCTCTTCAGCTCAAGGCTAGCACTCTACCACTTGAGCCACAGCACCACTTCCAGTTTTTTTTCTGCTTATGTGGTGCTGAGGAATCGAACCCAGGGGCCTCATGCAGGCAAGGGAAGCACTCTGCCACTGAGCCACCTTCCTAGCCCTGGTATGTAGTTTAAAGCCTCCCTACAATGTTCATGGAGCAATAGAGACAAACACCATCAGAGTTGCTTTTCAGAAATTCTTGTGTTAACAAATCAAAGAAAGCTTGGGCAAATGGGATTGCATGAAATTGCAGAGCTGCATGGCAAAGGACATAGCAAGATCAATAGAAAGCCCACGATTGGGAGAATATCTTCACTAGCCATACAACGGACAAGGGTCTCATATCTAAACTACCTGGAACTCAAAAAATTAAACCCCCAAAAACAAATCTTCAAAGAAACAACTGCCCAATAAATAAGTGGGCTAAAGACTTAAATTTCTCTGAAGAGGAAAGAATGATAGCCAATAGACACATGAAGAAATGCTCAACTTCCCTAGCCATAAAAGAAATGCAAATCAAAACAACATTGAGATACCACCTCACCCCAGTTAGAATGGCTATAATCAAGAACTCTAATAACATGCTAGAGGGGATGTGGACAGAAGGGAACCTTACTACATTGTTGGTGGGAATGTAAACTTGTTCAACCACTTTGGAAAGTAGTATGGAGGTTCCTCAAAAGACTACACATAGAGCTCCCCTATGACCCAGCAATCCCACTTTTGGGCATTTACCCAAATGATCACAAGACCATACTAAAGCTACCAGCACAATAAACTATGTTTATTGCAGCATATTTGCCATAGCTAAGATAAGGAACCAACCCAGATGCCCCTCAGTAGATGAATGGATCAAGAAAATGTGGTATATATACACAATGGAATTCTATGCCTCTACCAGAAAGAATGACACTGCCCCATTTGTTAGGAAATGGAAAAACTTGAAAAAACTTAAGTAAACCAGGCCCAAAGAAATATAGGTCCCATGGTTTCCCTTATTTGCAATAACTAGTATATGTCTGAGTCAAGCAGAAAAAGTCAAATAAGTTGATGTTAGGGGAATGAACCCCAAGATAAGGATTCAAATGTTTTTTTTTCTTTCATGCAATTGTTTCTAACATATAAGATTTCTATGTTGCTTTTTATGTCCCTCCCCCACGGTATAACCCCTGCTTTCACTGTTTTTGATGATGGTATAATTTGTGGAGGAGAAAGGCAACAATGAGGTGTACAAGTCGTTATGTCAAAAAACGAACTTTACAACTTTGGTGGGGGGGGTATGATCGGGTCGGGGAGTATGGGAAGGGATGGGAAGAGGAAACAAAGAGGAGGCAACAATGCTTGATAAGAAATGTACTCGTTACCTTGCCCATGTAATTGTAACCCCTCTGTACGGTATTCTCACAATAAAAATTCTTGTGTTAAATCTTAATGTGAGTGAATTTTAGACCATCATACATAAATTAGAAAATTTATAGAAACTATGAATTAGAAAAATTAATAGAACCAAATGGTTTGAACTAAGCTAATACCAAAGAGAACAGATACGTATACTGCTCAACGTCCTAGCCACTGAGAAGACTAGAAATAAGTCCCTGTGGGGACGGAATGAAAGATGCTTGATACAAAAAAAGTAAACCATATGATCAACAGAAACTTACTAGAAATATACATGTTATAAAGGGTGTGATTTAAAATGGGATTCATTAGATAGGCTTAACCACAAACCAGTGTGAACATGAAAAATTAAAGGATCAATGAACTTGAGTGATACAAAGAAATAATTTCCAAGCTGAAAAAGTTAAGAAAATGAAAGAGTACCCAAGATATGTGGAATAATATCACATGGCCTACTGTATGAATAAATGAAGTTCCAGAGGAAAAGATTGGAGGGGGGAAATGTACAGAGTTGTTGTTTGTTTTTTTGGTGGGTCATGGAGCCTGAACTCTAGGCCTGGGCGCCGTCCCTCAGCTCTTCAGCTCAAGGTGAGCTCTTTACCACTTGAGCCAGAGCACCACTTCCAGCTTTTTCTGCTTATGTGGTGCTGAGGAATCGAACCCAGGGCCTCATGCATGCGAGGCAAACACTCTACCATTGAGCTACCTTCCCAGCCCCCAGAGTTCATTTTCATCATTATAAATATCAAAAGTCATCTTTCATAAATCCAAGAAGTTGAGCAAAGATCAAAGGAAAAGATAAGGGCACATCACCAAGAGCTAATGTTACAGGACGCTCATTCTATAAACCAGCAACAGCAGCCGCAGGATTATCTTAGCACCAGACCCCCCTGTTCAATGCTGGCTTGCAGAGACCTGAGGGAGAAGATTTTAACACGTTTGCATTATACACAAGTATAGGCCAGTCATTTGTGGCTCTGCAGGGCACTAGAAAGTCTCTTCTGACTGAATATGTTTGGTGGAAGAATTTTTTGGTGAAAAAATCCTACTTCAGGAGGCTAAGATCTGAGGATTGCTGTTCAAAGCCAGCCCTGGCAGGAAAGTCCTGTGAGACTTAACCTCCGATTAGCCACCAGAAAGCTGTAAGTGAGGCTGTGGCTCAAAGTCTTGAGCTGAAGAGCTCAGAGACTGTGCCCAGGCCCTGAGTTCAAGCCCCACGACCAAAAACAATATCAACAAACCAGTACTCATGTTCCAGCTTAGTTAAACATACCAAAACTTCAATGGGCTTGTATGACCTGATACCCTTTAAGAGGAGGATTAAAGCCATTAGGTCAACTTGCACATTTTGCTTGCATCGTAGCCCTGCAGTACACAGCTGGTAAAACCAGAGCCTGCATCCAGTGTTAATACTAAGAGATGTTCTTCATCCACCAGTGTTGTTCTTGTTGAACATACTCATGTGTTCTGTACTTTAACATGCCTTGTGTGCTATGTAGACAATAAGGTAAATCTTTAAAACACCACTTTTTAATCAAAAAGGCTTTTGCTCCAAGTTATGAGAATCTAGATTTTGAAGAAATACACATATGCATATATTCTTATATACATCTATACTTACATATATATGTCTACTGACTTGGTTGTGGGCCAGGCACTGGTGGCTCATGCCTATTATCCTAGCTACTCAGGAGGCTGAGTTCTGAGGATCCAGTTTGAAAATCAGCCCAGGTAGACAATTCCAGGCTTGTTATCTCCACTTAATCTAGGGGAAAGCCTGAAGTGGAGGTGTGGCTCAAGTGGTAGAATGTCAGCTTGAGTGAAAAAGTCAAGGCAAACAAGCCCCAGTACCAGCACACACACACACACACACACACACACACAATCCAAATTCAAGCCCCAGTACCAGCACACACACACACACCAGTACCAGCACACACACACACACACACACACACACACACACACACACACACACACACAATCCAAGTTCAAGCCCCAGTACCAGCACACACACAGAAAATAAGATAGGTTACTTGTTTTTATATATATTCCCTCTAGCACACAGAGTGAGCATTCTGCTTGTTTTTCAGATGCGTGTTCATGAAGGAGCTATGAAAAGGGCACCCTGGTGTATTCACTATCTTGTGTTAAGCTCACCTTGACCTTTCTGCTGTGTTTTGAAAGCAGGAACTTTCCATGAGAGGAGTCCTCCCTGTACTCCACCACCAGCAAAGTTGTCATCAAAGGTGGGAAGGGAATGTAACACAAACCTGATTGAAGGCTCCCATCTTCACCACACAACTAGTCTTCATTGTCTAACTCAATGTCTGTGTGTGGGAGCTTCATTTCTTAAGATACCTGTGTCACATAAAACTTAGACTGAATAAATTTTCTCTTGCCCCAAGTCAGTTCTCAGGTGCACTGGCAAAAGCTTAAATAGAGATTTTTTTTTTTCTCCCTTATACTAGTACTTGATATTACCTTATATATATATATTTAATTTTATTTATTTTTGTGCCAGTCCTGGGGCTTGAATGCAGGTCCTAGGCCATGTCTCTGAAGTGGGTTTTTTTTGTTTCTTTTGTTTTTTCCTACCCCTTGAACCATAGCTCCACTTACAGCTTTTTAATGGTCAACTGGAGGTAAGAGTCTTATAGACTTTCTTGCCTGGGCTAGCTTTGAACTATGATCCTTAGATCTCGACCTCTTGAGAGGGTAGGATTATAGATGGGAGTCACCAGTGCCCAGCTACCTATCTTTTTAATTTTACCCAATCTATTTGGTATGAAATGCTATCTTAGGTTTATATTTTCATTTTTTAAACTAAGTACTTGTATAAGGGGTTACAATTCCATAAATCAGGTTAATAAGTAGAATATTTCTTGGTCACTCATGTTTGTATTTGGGCTTATTGGCTATTTTTATAATTTTCCTTTGTAAAGTGTGTACTAACCATTTTTTCATTTATAAATAAATGCTTTTATAAATTATTGAGATGAAGTTCTTTAAGCATTTTGAATGTAAGTCCTCTTCAGATATAAGTATTGTAATGATTTTCCCCCAGTCTCTACTCTGCTATTCATTTTCTTCATGTCTTTTAATGAGACCTTTTCCATTTTGTTAAATTTTAGTTTATCAGTTTTTAAAAATGTGTAGGTCGATTTCTCTTTGTACCTTTGAGATATTTATTTGTTTGTTGGGTTTTGGAGATATCATCATACACCTTTTCTCCTAAGTTTGATATTTTAGCTTTTACATCTTGGATGTCAATTTTAAAGATATGTATTTTTAATAGAAACCCTAGAAAAAAAATCTTCACAACTTACAGACTTTGAACGCCTCCTACATTTTGCCATGTGCTGTATGTTCTAAATGGGTAGACTATTAAAGTTATGGGATTTTTTTTTTAGCTAAATTTGAATGCCAAATTTTGTTGCTTTTAAATAGACACACTGCCATAATCTAAATCACTGGTTCAAAGCTTAATGAAACATGCATACTACCTTTAAAATGGTTAAAAATAAAATTCCTGCACTTGACTCTTAAGAGATTTTGTTCAGTAGATTCTGCAGTGCAGGCAGGTTGGGGGAATTATTACTGATCGGTGAGTCTTTAATGTTAGGTGAAATTAAAAGCCACTCCACTTACGAAGGCAATGTGAATAGAAATGACCACTTAACTCTTGAACTTTGTGAGCGTATGCGTGAGCTGTTACCACCAGTGCCTTTTATTGTCCTTTGGAATAATTGCTTAACATCCACTGACTGGAAATGTACTGGACAATGGTAGTGATCATACTCTGTTCCAATAAGGTGTGGTTGAATTACAATATTTCAGAAGAAGAACCACAGCCACCCTGTGGCTTGCCAGCTTGCCGGCTTGCGAGATCTCTCCCTGCAACAGAAAATTTCAACAAGTCCTGGGATGAAAGGGCAGGTTACCGTCCCAGCTGCTTTGTCTTTGCTGCTGCCATCGTTGGCTCTGCCATATGGTTTTGGTAATGGCTCCTCGCTTGGCTGGCAGTTAAACATGAAACTTCCCATTGGGTATTTTCAAAACGAGGCCGGGGGAATCAGCTGCCAGCTTACTGCACTGTGGAAAACTGCACGAGATTCCGGGAGTGGAATCAAAATGCTAATTTAAAAGGTCAAGCAAAGCTGCGCCTCACGTTTTGGCGTGCCTGTGCTCTCAGCCAGCCCGGCAGACAAAAGACCCAGCCAGAGAAAGCAGACGCTGACAGCCATCCCCGTCCTGTGTTCCTGAAATAATCTGGGAATCATGCCTGAAATGCCGGAGGACATGGAGCAGGTAAGAGCTAGCAATTCAAGGAACATTCAGGAGGAAGAGTTGCTTTAAATGCACACCAGAATGCCCGGTAGCAGCAGTGTGGATGTAAGGAGAAAAGAGAAAACAAGTTAGGGCATTCATTTTCCTCCCGGTACAACCTTTGGACATAGAATAATACACTCAACTTGAGTTACTGACCCTGGAAGCCGGCTTTGGTAAGCTTAGTGAAGTCTCACTCATTTACAAAAATAAAATGCAAAGCATGTACCAAATGAGATGCAAGAATGTAGGTGAAGGTTTTGCGATAAATCAGGATTTTTATCCCATGGTGAGCTCCAGCTTTCTGTCTCTTGTGTGACTCCAGTCTGCTAGCCTAACTTTTAGTTCCAGTCTGCATTTATTATACTTGACTACATAAGAAGTTAGATGTTATCTGTGAATGGATATAGTTTATCTTCTTGACAGAAAAATGATTATAAAGTATACCCAAACATATGTGCTAGATGACCTGTACCCAACTTTTACCCCAGTAAGCATCAAGCAGAGTCTTAAATATAGGCGAATGAGCACTTTGTTCCTCATTCAAGATAGGCTGCTCAGAGAATGAAATTGCAAATTGCAATTCTTACATGTTTCTGTTGGACAATTTTAAGTCCCTCTGGGGAGACCCGATTACCTCACACAGTCCTACTAGGAACTGGAATTTTCACTTTTTAAGCAGGAAGGAAGAAAGTTTTAGCTCTTCACTGCGATCCCTCCCCTCTGTCCCCCAAGGTGTTGATTGCTTTGTGTTGAGACAACTTGTCTTGAGGCTTGATCCATAGCTGCCTGGGAACAAGTACACCTTCCTGTCTCAACCTCCCTGAAGATAAGCAAGCACCGCCAGGACTCGCTCTCTTGCCTTTTACTTCCTTGTCTTCTGCTTCTGCTTCTTTTGTGTTGGGACAATCCTCTCGGTTTGTGAACAATAATAACTTCAAGATAGATATATACATAATCTCAAAAAGTTAGGGACCTAAGGCTGTCTTGAGTCACTGATCCCAAGAAACTTTTTATGTGTACAATGAATAAGGAAATAGTTTCTTTGGGCGTTGGAGAGGAAGCCAAGTCACAGGACTGTTGACGTTAAAAAAAAAAAAAAGATTGCTTAATCCTTTAACTCTTACCAGGGTTTTTTTTTTTCTTTTGAAAATAAGGCTTCAGGAAAATACAGGTCGTGATGATCACGTTGGCGGGCAGGTTTTCAGTGTCGTGGGTAGTGCCCGGACCAGAACAGACTGTGGGGTACAGGTGGGCGAGCCCTGTACACGGCTGCACACTTGCGGAAGGCCAGTGACGGGCCAGGAAAGCCAAGCAGCAACAACTGTCTTGGGGGGTTGTTCCTGATGTGCTTTCAAAAAGCAAAGCGAGTCTCCGCCCAGGCAGTCTCCACTGAGATCCACTGAGGAGGCTGCCGGGTCTGGCCCCCCCCCCCCCCCACCAGTGCGAGTGGAGGCCTGGCCTCTGTCAGTTTGTCCGTCAGTGAGGAAGGGTAAGTTGGGGGAGTCAACAACCACCCCAGGACACACATAGGCTCCCGGGTGGTTACTGACTCCGGCAGCGGCTCTCACGATTATTTCTTCGATGACTTTATTTCGCCCTCTTTCAGACCCCCCCTCCTCCTGCGCAGGCGCGGGCGCTCGCTCCCCCCCACTCCGAAAAGCTCTCGGGCTGCTCGGTGTAGTTCGTGCCGCCGCACGGGCATCGCGTCCAGTCTGCAAACTGCAACGCCAGGCCCGTCAACTCGATCCTTCTTCCCAAGTTAAGGGGGAAAAAGAAAAGTAGACGCTTAAGCGGGAGACAAACACCCGCACCCCGCCGGCCTCCCACCCTCAAACCCGGCCCTCGGCGTCGGCGGTCTGGGTCTCGGTGTCTGTCCCTTTAAGAACTGGCGCGTGGGCCCGGCGCGTCCTGCGAGGTCCCGCCCTCCTCCGGAGGCGTGGCGGAGCGTGGCCAATCCGCAGGCGCGGCCCGGGCGGCGGAAGCCGGAAGCGGGCGCGGAGGTCGGCGGGGCCTGGGGGAGCTGCGGCCCGCGGCGGTTCGGGGCGGGCTGAGGCGGCCGCGGCGGCGGCGGCGAGAAAACGGCGGGCATGGTGGGGCGGGGGAAGGAGCTGTCCATCCACTTCGTGCCCGGGAGCTGCCAGCTGGTGGAGGTAGGCCCGCGGCCCGGCCCGCGCGGCGCCGGCGCGGGAGCTTCCGCCGCCGTCCCGGCCTGCAGCCCGGCTGGGGCGGGGCGTGCGGTGCTAGGGGTCGGGGGGGCCCGGGGTGAGGGTCCGGGGTGAGGGGGTCGGGGTCGGGGGTGCAGGGGCGGGGGCGTGCAGGGGCGGGGGCGTGCAGGGGCGGGGGCGTGCAGGGGCGGGCACGTGCGGGGGCGTGCAGGGGCGGGGGCGTGCAGGGGCGGGGGCGTGCAGGGGCGGGGGCGTGCAGGGGTGGGGCGTGCAGGGGTAGAGGGTCCAGGGGCGGGGGCGTGCAGGGGCGGGGGCGTGCAGGGGCGGGGGCGTGCAGGGGCGGGGGCGTGCGGGGGCGGGCACGTGCGGGGGCGTGCAGGGGCGGGGGCGTGCAGGGGCGGGGGCGTGCAGGGGCGGGGGCGTGCAGGGGCGGGGGCGTGCAGGGGCGGGGGCGTGCAGGGGTGGGGCATGCAGGGGTAGAGGGTCCAGGGGCGGGGGCGTGCAGGGGCGGGGGCGTGCAGGGGCGGGGGCGTGCAGGGGCGGGGGCGTGCTGGGGCGGGCACGTGTGGGGGCGTGCAGGGGCGGGGGCGTGCGGGGGCGGGCACGTGCGGGGGCGGGGGCGTGCGGGGGCGTGCAGGGGCGGGGGCGTGCAGGGGCGGGGGCGTGCGGGGGCGGGCACGTGCGGGGGCGGGGGCGTGCGGGGGCGGGCACGTGCGGGGGCGTGCAGGGGTAGAGGGTCCAGGGGCGGGGGCGTGCAGGGGCGGGGGCGTGCAGGGGCGGGGGCGTGCAGGGGTAGAGGGTCCAGGGGCGGGGGCGTGCAGGGGCGGGGGCGTGCAGGGGTAGAGGGTCCAGGGGCGGGGGCGTGCAGGGGTGGGGGCGTGCAAGGGTGAGGCCCAGGCATAGGGGCGTGCGGGGGTGGGGGCGCGCAGGGGTGGGCGTGTGCAGGGATGGGGGCATGCAGGGGTAGGGGATCCAGGGGTGGGGGCGTGCAGGGGTGGGGGCATGCAGGGGTAGGGGGTCCAGGGGTGGGGGCGTGCAGGGGTGGGGCGTGCAGGGGTGGGGCGTGCAGGGGCGGGGGCGTGCAGGGGCGGGGGCGTGCAGGGATGGGGGCGTGCAGGGGTAGGGGGTCCAGGGGTGGGGGCATGCAGGGGTAGTGGGCATGCAGGGGTGGGGGTCCAGGGTAGGGGGTCCCGGAGTGGGGATGCAAACCTCGGGATGAGGTTAAGCAGGAGTAGGGGATTCCCAGTGAGGGTGGGGAATATGCAGGGATGGGGGTGGGTGGTAAGCCTGGGGGTGGGGGTGGGGGTAGCCAGGGATGGGGATATGCAGGAGTCCAAGGGTGAGGCTGTGGGGGTCAAGGAGTGAGTGGAGATGGTGGGTAGGGGTGGGTGGTAAGCAGATGTAGAGGGGAGTCTGCAGGGTGAGGGCATGTAGATGTGGGGTGTTGCATCTGAGGGTGAGGGGTCTGGGTGGGGGCTCCGGAGATCTCTGAGGTTGGGATGGAAAGAGGGGGCGTATGTGGGGATTCCCGGGGTTGTGGGCATATGCAGAGGTCCGGGGGTGTCCAGCGATGGGGGATCCCAGAGTTGTGGGGTGTCCTAAAGAAAGAGAGGGGCGCTCCCTTTCTTTAGGGAATAGAGCCTAGCCCCTTGCTCAGTTTCCAGTCATGGCTGCCTCCCCACTCTCCCTGCCCTCCACGTGGAGGAAGGTGTGGTGTTTGGTGTCCGGAGTTCAGGCAGGTTCACCGTCCCGTGATCTTCCTGTGTGTGCATACACAGGACACCTTAGCTGCCTCTTCAGTTGCTTCTCAGCTGAGGAAAGCAGGCACGGGTTTGTTCCTCTGAGATGGGACTCCGGGTAAGGTGCAGGCCTCTGGCCACCTAAGACCTGAACCACCTCAAACCACCACCATGGTTTGCAGGAGGAAAGAAAATGGTGTTGGGGAAATCCATCCCTGGGTTCCTCCCCCTCCATTCATTCCCGAAGCCATTCACAGAACCTGTCCATACTAGATAAGGAGACTGAATCCACCCTTGTGTGTGTGTTAGAAACACACAAAAGATTGTAGAGATGGCTTTCTGTATTGAGGCAATAGTTTTTTGTTTGTTTGTTTGTTTATGCTGGTCCTGGGCTTGAGCTCAGGGCCTGGGCACTGTCCCTGAGCTCCTTTTGCTCAAGGCTAGCACTCTACCACTTGAGCCACTGCACCATTTGAGGCTTCTTTTGAGGGTGGTTTATTGGAGATATTGCAGACTTTCCTGTCTTGGATGGCGTAGAACTGCGATCCTTAGATCTCAGCTTCTTCAGCCACAAGGATCACAGGCGTAAGACCCTGAAGCCTGGCCTTTAGCAGCAGTTCTGTGTTTCCAAAATATGACATATTCAATGCCTTCAAGTGGTATTTGGGACTTTGGTAGAGTTAGGCTTCGGGGCTATTTAACCCTCTATTTCTGTGTGCCCCAAATGATGGAGTGCATGATGCCAGCTGTTAGTTTACATTCATGTGTGTGTCTACAGGTGGATGAACCTCAATCTATTTTCACAGTAGTTCAGCAAAGAAAATGACTTTCCATGTTTTCCATTAAGAGCTTAGCAAATATTACTTGTGCTCTGAAAACCTGTAGAACTAAAACTCTCTCATCAGGAGAATGGTACTTGTCATATAGATATGTCAAAAGGTAACCCTTGGTGCAAGTAATTGATGTGAGTAAAAAAAACATGTAAGAAAAAAGAAGTGGCCAGATCGAAAGGATTCCAAGGGTAGCAAGGTATTACAAATACTGTTAAGATGTCAGAACAACTCGGTGCATAACATCAGTGCTATCATCCTAGACTCTTTCAGAGCATTCTTAATAGAATTTACCAAAGTGTGTCCTAAAGTGGAAGTCAGTGTCCCCGCACGGTAGGACCGCTCCGAAAGAGATACTCATCTCCCATTAGCCACAAAATTTGGCGTCATTTAACTAGAACGGTAGGCTTAGTGTTTTTATGTATTTGATACTTCAGGGGGTTTCTTCTTTCTCCCTTCTTTTTTCTTTTCTCTTCTTTTCTTTTGTAGTGCTGAGAATGGAACTTACATCTCGCCATGTTAGACAAGCAGTTCAGGCTAAATCCACACACCATCAGGAGTTATTTTTGGCATCTATAAATAAGATGACTTAAAGTGTTTGACTTCCATATATTGAGTTTCTGCTATAGAGGCAGATGGAGATTCATTTCCAAATGGTCTTTAATCAATCATCTTCTCACTGAGCAAAACTTGAGGAAATGGATGGCTCAGGCAGAAAGGGTCTTCTGGGGTGAAATAGGGCAAAGGTGACCTTCTGTAGATAGAGATCTTGCTGCAGTCATCAGGTTGTACATGTAGGGAAGTGCTAGAATTGTAGCACTAACCGTTTTGTCCAAATGCTTCTTTTTACTGGTGAGGAATTAAGCCAGTATGAGTGTTATAATTTCTCAATGCTTTAGTCTATGACAAAGCAGATAAAACTATCAAATGCAAGTCCAGAGGATGGAAACAAAATTCATTGCAAGTGGTTAGAGCATCGAGACAAGACTCTTAGGTTCTGGTCCCAGTCTTTTTCTTTCTGTGGACAAAGTTACTACCACCTGTGGGATCTTTAGTTTGGAAATGACAAAGCAGAAGGAACAGCCTAAGTTTTCATAACACTTGATAGTCTTCAAGTTCAAGATGGAGAACTGGCCTTTCCCTTTCGTTGGATGCTCCCGTCTCAGATCCCTGAATTGCCATCCGACCATTGGGTGAGGGGTACTCCGTCTCCCGGTTCCTCAGGACAGTACACATTAGCATAGGCTATAAGGAAATAATATTCCCCTGGCCACCCCAGTCCTTTCATAAGTATCAAAAAAAAAAAGCAGCCTTGTTCTTGAAACTCAGTATAGTATCAATTCTTAAGATGCTTTTGATTTTAAGATAGTCTCTTGTTTGTTGTTGTTTGTGCTGGTGCTGTGGCTTGAGCTCAAGGCCTGGGCCTTGAGCTTTTTGCTCAGGGCTAGTGCTCTACTGACGGAGCCACAGCTCACTTGTAGATTTTTTTTTTTAATTGGTTAATTGGAGAGAAGTGTCTCGTGGATTTCCAGCTGGCTGGCATGGAACCGCGATCCTCACAGCACAGCCTCCCCGGTAATTAGGATTATGGGCATGAGTCACCAGCACCTAGGGATGACCTCTTCTTTTAAGATGCACTAAGGTATCGGAAAACACTGCCAAACTGACACGCTCAGGAGACTCAATCTTTTTCATTAAACACAAATGTATTAAAATGAGAGAAACATGTGCTTTCCAAACTGAAGTATGAAAGTAAAGAAATAAAGGATCTGTTTTTCCCCTGAGATCTTAATAAACTTGCAAACAAAATGTAGGCCTGCTCCTTCATAATACTTTGTGGTTAATTCCATGATTAAGATAGAACGGACTTTATTGAGTGTGGTAAATAAAGTGTTCTTGAAATAAAAAAATAAAAATAAAAAACCCCTGAAGAACGCAGTTCTCACTTCACGGTATAGCACTTATGGGTTGCATAATACTTGGGCTTTTCTTTTTTCTTTCATTCACGTCTTCCTTTAAATTTTCAGTCTTCCTCTCCTGTGCCTCTTTCCTCCTTTCCTCCCCCTTGCCCTTCCAGCTCTGGGATTACAGGTCTGTGCCCCATACCAGCCTTACTAGTTGTCTGGGAAGTTGGATGGCAGTATTTTTTTTTTTTTTTGGTCTTGTTGGAGTATGAGAATTGCGTCTTCAGAAAAGCCTTATCCTGGAACGCAAGATTACAAGTGGGTCCCCATGAACACCCATGATCTGCCCGCCCCGTCAGCTGGAGGGGTGCTGACCTGAGTCTCCTGGGCCCGACCTACACCCTGCTGCCCTTGCCTTTGCTTCCCTGGGGCAAAACGAGGGACCCGAAGCCCCCCGGAAGTCCCCCATCCCGCCTCGTCACGGCATCTGCCCCGGGAAGTCGGCGGAGTCTGTCTCCACCAGACTTGGCTTGTTCTTCCCTCTTTACAGTTGTGTCTTTGTAGAGCTGTCTTCTTGCCAAAAGTCTAAGAAAATATTGTGCTGGCTGGAGTCCTTGTTTTCATAAATCACCTGGCTTAGAGCCAAATGTTTCAGCAGAGAGCCTGGATGAAGTTTCTGTACACTTCTCAAGTGTTTTGCCACTAGTAGAACTATGAGAAAAGAATCTTAAGATTTTTACCTTACTCATTAGCTTTTTCCTTTCAGGTTTTTCAAATGCTAGAAACAGCTGGATTTTGGTCCTTTATTTTATACATATATATATATATATATATATATTTTTTTTTTTTTTTTCAATTGAGATTTTTGTGTTGCCAGTTTTTCTTGGGTTCCCTTTGTTTTGGGCAGTAGAAAGATGCCAGGCAAGGTGGGGTTGGAGGTCCTGTTTATTCAAGCTCCTTGGGCCTGAAAGACAGGAAGATGTCCAGTTCAAGACCAGCATGGGCAATGGTAATAAGACCCTGTCTCAAAACCAACACGAGAGTGTAGGGCTTGGAGTATCATTCACATGGGAGCACATTTGTCTAGCATGTCCGGGGCCCTGGGTTCAGTGCCCAGTCCCTGCGGTATAACCTAGGAAACAGCTTGGCCGAGAGGTCTTCGGTGAACACTAGCAGTGACTTGTTTCTGTGATAGAGGTCTTGTCACAGCGGGTGACCCTGTCCTTTTGCTTGGCTTTTAGGAGGAGATAAACACCCCCAGCCGGCGGGTTCTGGTCACTGGTGCCACTGGGCTGCTTGGCAGAGCTGTTTACAAGGAATTTCAGCAGAATAATTGGCATGCTGTTGGCTGTGGTTTTAGAAGAGCAAGACCAAAGTTTGAGCAGGTCAATCTGTTAGATTCTGAAGCCGTTCACCATATCATTCATGATTACCAGGTACAGTCTCCTCCCTTTATGTCAGCATCTACCTGAGTTATGTCGGCATCTACCTGAGTTTATGTCGGCATCTACCTGAGTTGGGGGTGGAATCGCCCGGGTGACGTACCTGCTGTGAAGGAAGTTGCCATGCGCTCAAAGCACTGACCCTCTGTGGCTTGCTGAGGACTGACCCCGGGGTCTGGAGCATCTCACCACGCTGGCAAGTGCTCTCACGCAGGGCCGGATCCTCAGCCTCAGAGTGCACTTTCTTTAGCATGTAAAAGATTAAGTGGAGACATTGACAAAGACAGAAATAATAAGCTTTTTTTTTTCTTTTTTTGTCAGTTATGGGGCTTGAACTCAGGACCTGGGCACTGTGAGCTCCTTTGCACTTGAATCACAGAGCCACTTCTGGTTTTCTGGTGGTTCTTTGGAGATAGAAAATCTCACAGTCTTTCCTGCCTGGGCTGGCTTCCGACTGTGATCCTCAGATCTCAGCCTCTTGAGTAGCTAGGATGACAGGCGTGAGCCACCTGTGCACAGCTCATATGTATATTTTTTTCTTTTTTGCAATTTTTCTTTTTTTAAAACATTTTATTGAGATTAGGTGATTACATAAATTTCACGTTTCACAGCATTGTGGAATAGTGATACTTAATTAAAGTCACTAACACATTTCAGCCTTCACAAAGCATATTGTCATTGTCATGGTCCATAAAGTTTGTGAATTCCAGGAGCTTTGACAGTACAACCATTTCTTCCGCATCAGGTGATATTTACCTTTCTTTCCTTTTGCTTAGTGTGAGCTGGCCCCTCTTTCCCTCTCATTCCCTCCCTCCCATTGCTTCCCTTGAGTTCATTTTCATGTCCAGTGTGCCAGCTCATATTTTTGACAGTTTTCTAATCTTCGTCTAGGCTTCGGTAAATTTCCTCTCTGCCGGCCTGAGGATGGAGCTCAGTGGGTAGATTGCTTGCAAGGTTCTGGATCCCTAGCACCATGAAGAAGAAAAGCCAAAACAACAAAATTGCACATTTACTTTTCAAGGCCTGTATGTGATTTGAGGAAGTTTGAGCCTTGAGGGAAATAAAGGAAGGGAAAGGAAACTGTATTAAAAGTCGCAGTGATTAATCTTCCCTGAAAGGAGGTTGATGAAGGATCCTCTTTCACTGAAGGCCTTGGCTTCCGCGGGGCTCTGTGTGCTGTGCTTTATCTGTGACCACTTGCCTTCCAGCCTCACGTGGTAGTTCACTGCGCTGCAGAGAGGAGGCCGGATGTTGTGGAGAGCCAGCCAGACGCTGCTGCTCAGCTTAACGTGGGTGCTTCTGGGAATTTGGCAAAAGAAGCAGGTAAACAACACCCTCATACGCCCTTCTCCAGGTGTCCAGTCAGCACACAAGTTCAGAGACCCGCGTTTCATAGATCACTTGCATTGTTTTTATATCACATAGAACAAACCGTTCTGAGTTCTGCTCAAAAGTAATGGCACGACACATTTTGATAGATTTTTGTTTGTTTGTTTCTAATCTTTTGCAGCTGCAATCGGAGCTTTCCTCATCTACATTAGCTCAGACTATGTATTTGATGGGACAAATCCACCTTATTCAGAGGAAGACACACCTGCTCCCCTAAATTTGTATGGTAAAACCAAATTAGAAGGAGAAAAGGCGGTACTGGAAAATAATTTAGGTAAGGCTTAGCCTCTTGAGCCGCTGATTGTTTCAGAGAACTGCTTTTTGTTTACGAGTGAAGTGTTTCAAATTGTAGAAAATCAAGCGATAAGTCATTAGAGAGAAATCAGAGAATATAGTTAATATAAAGGGAAAGTAAGTACTTAAAAATCCTGAGGGTAGGGACTGGCAATGTGGCTTAGTGGTAGAGCGTTTGCCTAGCATGCATGAAGCCCTGGGTTTGGATCCTCAGTACCACATACACAGAAAAAGCTGGAAGTGGTGCCGTGGCTCACATGGTAAGAGTGCTGGCCCTGGCCCTGAGTTTAAAAAAAAAAAATAAAAGGAGATCTCCCTGGCCCTGAGTTTATCTGCTTTTTCAATTTACTTCCCAGTTGTAATTTTTTGATTTGTTGAAAAAAATAGACTTTCTTGACTCTTTGTATATCTTTGACATCATTTGGTCTCTTCTAATCTTAAAAGAAGGTAGAAGGTCCGTGGTCCATTTTCCGTAGCTGCTTCATGCTAAGCGTGGAGGGAGGAAAAAGTGACTGGTATCTAGCTGACAGACTGGCCTTCATCAGGACCAGAAGAGGACAGGATGTTCTTTGACTAAAAGACAAGTCAGAGATACTAGTGAGGACTTAAAAAAAAATAAAATCAGCCATTTTCCTATCTGGATGTTTAATAGAATTTGTTAAATGAGTCAAAAATTCAGGAAGGAAATGCTAAGATACAACATATGTTAGATATAACATATTCAATGCTAAGATAGAGCATATGCTAGCTATAAAATTAAATTAGATATATGTGCTGTCCACAGAAATCACAAACTAGATTGACAGTTGTGGCCCAGATGGTAACCTACGTCCATCTGCCTATTTTAGGTGCAGTGGTTAGGCCACTTACTGTTTTACCTCAAAACTGGATCCTTAGATCTCAGTCTCCTAAGTAGCGAGGATTATGGATGTGAACCACCCGTACTCTTCTTCAGCAGCTACCTTCTTTATAAGACCTACTCTTACCTTTTGTACAGCTTTCATAGCCTTTTAATTTCTTTGTTCTGTTTGCTTTGTAAGTTACTTTTTCCCTCCTCTCTTTCACACTCTGTTCTCACCCTCCCCCCTCCCTCCAACTTGCTGTTTTCATTTTGGGATATTCTGGAACATTTTACCTTTTAAAAGGATTTGACCTTTTAAAATCCTTTGTCATCTAAAAGCATTTTCTCTTTCCCTTCCCTTCCTCCCCCCTTCAAACAACTTCTTAGAAATTTCTACATTTTTCCTACCTCAGAGAGATCTCTTACATGAAGTCCTTTTTTTCTTTTCCCCCTTTTTGTTTAATTTGACAAAATGGTTGCAAAAATTCTGGACTTAAACACAACCTTTTCCAACAGAATAAAATATTCTTAGAAGCATTTTTTTGGATATAGATCAAGCAAGAAAACAACCTCAAATTACTTTGCTACAGAACAGTTTCCATAAGGACATTCGTTCCAAAAAGTAATGAAAATACCTTTGGCTGCCCAGGAATTGAGCGTTTTGGTAAAACCAGAAACCTGAGAGAGAAGTAAAGTGGCTATGCCCGCAGTTAGGAAGGTGGGAACGCGCTGCCTCTCTGTTGGCACTGGCGGGTAGCTGGCTGTCTTGTGAGATGCAACTCCTGACTCCAGCCACTTGGCCGAAGCAGAGACTTGTCAGGACAGCAATTCTCAAGATGAACAGATTGACAGATTGACAGAAAAAAAAGGCTTTTCCCCCTGGTGACCTGAGCCCTCCTCCCATCCTTCCCCCCCCCCCCCCCCCATTACTGCCTGGTGACCTGAGCCCTCCCCCGATCCTTCCACCCCCCATTACTGCCTGGTGACCTGAGCCCTCCCTCCCAGTACTGTTGCTCTGGGGATTGAATCAGCATGGAGTTCTGGGGGGAACATTATGGGTTGGGACTATAGCAGTCTCCATGTTTACTTGTCTGATCATTTGATTATAAAACTTACAATTGCTTGCAATTAAGGTGCTAATTATCCATACACCATACCCCTCAGCAGGGACCAATTAAACCCAAGTGCCTTGAAATTCCTCCACCAGTGCTTGTGAGAAGTGTGAACACTGACTCCTCACCAGGCTTCAGATGCTGGTGTTTTGGCGCATTGGTTTTATATGTACTTGGCCAACCCTGGTGACAGCTTGTTCCATTTAAGTGAAGTCCCAGACCACTTCATTCACTCGTGCCCTGTACAGACAAGGACATTCTCCACAGGACTGCAGAACAGTCCTGATGAACAGTGGACTGCAGTCCTATATGTAGCCTCCGCAGGTATTTTCCAACTGTCCTCAAAACATTCCCTCTATAAAAGAAATCTTGTAAGATTTGACATCTAATCAGGATTTCTAATTACGTTGTCACAAGTTTTTGCTTTAGTTATCATAATAATATAGACATTAGATACAGAAATATCTCAGATGGCAGATATTTATAAAAATACTCAAGATCCCATGTATTAAATTGGCCTGATCGCTGGTGAGCTGTGTGTGTTGGTGCTAGGGATCGGACCCAGGGCCTCCGAGAGGCTACACAAATGCTCTGCCAGTGAGCTGTATTCCAGCCCAGCATGTTTATTATATTAAAGACGAGGTCTCTGTGTTGGTAATGTCTCCCCCATGAAAACTTGGGAGCTCAGCCCTAGCACGCCCCCTTTCCTTGGTCCAGGAGCTGCAGTTCTGAGAATTCCTGTCCTCTACGGCGAGGTGGAGAAGCTGGAGGAGAGTGCGGTGACCGTGATGTTCGACAAGGTGCAGTTCAGCAACAAGTCGGCCAACATGGACCACTGGCAGCAGCGGTTTCCCACCCACGTCAAGGACGTGGCCAGCGTGTGTCGGCAGCTGGCAGAGAAGCGGATGCTGGTGAGCAGCTGAGGAGGGGGAGGACGGAGGGCGGAGGACGAGCTAGAAGGCCAGACGGAAGCAGTTGACAGAGGGGAGACTACATTGCCAAAGAACAATACCTCACCCTTGCGTTGGGTTTATTTCTCACTTGCCGTGCGACCTGTTGTTTCTTCTACAGGAAGGCAGCAGAAAGCCTGCAGTTGTTCTTTAGCTAATAACTGTCTCCGATTAAGTGAACGGTAGAGAGCCTGAATGGCAGCCCAAGTAGGAATTGATCCTTTGTTTTTGTCCTTGACCCCAGATGTCAGGGCGGCCTCCACCCATCACAGCCTGGGCTGCGGTCAGTGTAGAAAGAAACAATCTGGGCATGGGCAAAGGCATCCTTTGGTCTTGCTGATGCTGACTCTAAAATCCCAAGTTTCCTACGCGCGCCACGTTCACTCCTGATTCCCCAGGACTTGCTTAAAGCTAAACTGAGACTTCATGCCCCTCCCCCTAGCTGTCCAGGCCCGGGCTTCCGTTTCCTCCAGCTCAGGGTCCCCATCTTCAGACTTGGTTGGAGATGATGCCTGGCCTCAGGAATGGCTCCTCTGAACTTACCCAGGCCCTGCAGCTGGTTGAGTCGGCACACCGGCTTGTGCTGCTGTAGGCAGGTGCCGGGGCTTGAACTCAGGGCATGGGAGCCGTCCCTTAGCTTATTTTAAAATCAAGGCTGACATTCAGTCACATGAGCCACAGCTCTACTTCTGGCTTTTTGTTGGTTAGCTGGAGATAGTGTCATGGGCTTTCCTGCCTTTCTGATTGCAAACCCTGATTGTCAGGTCTCCCCTCTGGGCAGCTAGGATCGCAGGCGTGAGCCATGCCCAGCTTTGACCACCATGTTCTTTTTTAAGTATGAAAATATTTATTTTTGAGATGCAAACATATCTAAGGTTTAACTAATGAGCTCATCTCAAAAAGTAGTTGTACTCAGCTCTGGTTTTAGCTTTTTAGTATACTTGAAAATACTTATTAAATCAGACTTCCCCTAAAAATCTCTGGAAATCACTTTTAGGACTCCCACTAATGACACAGAATTTCTGTTTCTATTTCCAAATTTCCAAATACTTCTGGAGGTTGTTTGTGGTTGTTGAGCTGGGAATATTTACAGGCGCTTCCTTTAGATGCTGCGTCAGAATCCATTCCCGAAAAGGGTGGCGCGTTGGCGTCGGGGGTTTCGCGTTGGCCCCCGGAGGTGGCGGTGCCCGCATTTGAGTCTCAGGAATGCTTGTGTCCTTGTCTCCAGGACCCATCCATCAAGGGCACTTTCCACTGGTCTGGCAGCGAGCAGATGACGAAGTACGAGATGGCCTGTGCAATTGCCGATGCCTTCAACCTGCCCAGCAGTCACCTGCGGCCCGTGAGTAACCCCGCCCCACTGCAGCCTGGCATGCGCTGGCTGCCTTCGCATCTCAGCACGTACTCAGTGCCCTTGGGTTAGCCTGGCAGCGTGCTCTGTGATGCCGTGGTGAGGAGTGTTCAGCGGAAAGGTAGTGTCTGAGCGGTGGCAGGCGCTGTTCGAGAGGCAACGGTGTACAATAGTAGGAAATGAGCCGCGCGCCGGTGGCTCACTCCTACAATCCCAGCTACTCAGGAAGCTGAGATCTGAGAACGGTGATTCAATACCAATCCGGGCTAGAAAGTCTGTAAGACTCTTCCCTCCACTTAACCACCTAAGAGCCAGAAGTGGAGCTGTGGCTCAAGTGGTAGAGCACTAGCCTTGAGCACGAAAGCCCAGGCCCTGAGTTCAAGCCCTAGGACCAGCCAAAAAATCATGAAATGAAGTTGTTTTTTTTAACCCCAAACTCTTGCTGGAGCCCTTATGCTTTGTTTCCTTTCTCTCTCAAGATCACTGATAGCCCCGTCATAGGTGCCCAGCGTCCAAGAAATGCTCAGCTCGACTGCTCCAAATTGGAGACGTTGGGCATCGGCCAGCGCACACCCTTTCAGATCGGAATCAAAGAGTCGCTCTGGCCCTTCCTCATCGACAAGAGATGGCGACAGACGGTCTTTCACTAGTTCACGCCTCGCATCTTTTTAAAAAGGAAAAGTACAGTCCGCGGCACTTTTTCAAGAGAAGAGGAACTAGTTTTGTATGATTACTCTTTAAGGGGCGTCTGCTCTTTCAGGTGAATGATGCTCTTGCACTAGTGAAATTGTCTAAAGAATCCGAGGAGCATCGGAGCCTTCTCCGTAGCCATGATTTTCTATGTTACGATTTTCTTTGTTTGGCTTCTCCCTGCAGTTGCCGTAATGTAAATTATGATTCTAAAACTCCTGAGAGCCAGGATGAGACAGATCTGCTGTAGACTCTTATTTTGGATGAAACTCATTGTTAATTCTTTGTAGAACTTCTGTATTTTCAGGATTTTTTTCTTTTCTTTCTTTCTTTTTTTTTTTTTTTGACTTGTTTTAAAACGTGAAGTCATATGAAAATCATTGGTGTTCATTATTTGCTTTGCTTGAGCTCAGATCAAAATGTTTGAGGAAAGAAACTTTATTTTTGCAACCTCAGTACAGTTTTTATGCTTGAGATATGTTAACACGTTACGTCCATTAGCACTCCTGCGGCTTGGCGCCCGGGTCACAGCCGGGCGTGGTGAACCCTTGAGAGTGTGTATGCGTGTGTGTGGTTTTGTAATATAAATTCACGACTGCCCTTTTCACTCCACGTTGCTGACATTTCACATGCTCGGTTATACTAATAATAATGAGCCTGTAAGTCTTTTGACCACTCCTGAGTCATAATAAATACGTACTGCTGGCGTGTCAGGCCTCCTTGTCTTGTGTTGGTTCTTTCTGTGGGCAGACCACCTGTCTGTACTGGTTGTTCCTTTGTGGCTTTAACTTTTTTTTGGTATCAGTCTTAGGGCGTAAACTCAGAGCCTGGGCACTGTCTCTGAGCTCTTTTGGCTCAAGGCTCTACCACTCGAGCCACAGCACCACTTCTGGCCTTTTGTGAGTAGTTTATTGGTGATAAGAGTCTCACAGACTTTCCTGCCCCGGCTGGTTTCAAACTGTGATCCTCAGATCTCAGCCTCCTGAGGCTCGAGGATTACAGGCTTTAGCCACCAATGCCTGGCTCATACTTGTATATTCTAAGTATACATACAGTATTTTGTAACTGTAATTTACTTAGAATTGGGGGATTCAAGTGGCTCAGATTTGATGCCTTTACTAAAGCAGCAATTTCCACACCAATGAACTGAGGAAATTCTGAGACCTCACCTAGACTGACTGAACCACCAAAATCCCATTTTTAGAAATAAGGCTTGCTGACAACTATGTGAAAACACTCCCTGGGTGTTTCCCAGATAGCTAGTGTGGCACTTGGGTGTTTTTCTTCTTTTTGAGACAGAGATGTAGCATGTGGGCTCAAACTCTGGCCTTAGCCTCCTGCCTCTGCCTCCTGAGTTATAATTGCATTCGCCATCCCTGCTGCTTTTGCTTTATTACTATTTTTTTTTTAATGTCGCTCTATGTCATGTAGTATAAAAGAGAAAAGGTTAAGAAAATGTAAAGCCTTTTTCTCCTTCAGCCATCCATTAGCTATCTGAGCAGATGAGGGCCAGCCATCAAGTTTCTGGGCTTAACCCAGTATCTGTGGATGGGGCTTTGGGGATTGTCACCATGCCTGATAAAGATCAGCCTTACCTTTACCTTCTGTAAGTAAGGTGAGCAGCGGTGGGTTTTTCTTTTGTGATTAAAACATATTTTGCAGATTCTTCTGCAATGAGCCTACTTTTCACTATGCGGGAAATAAAAAAAAGATTTTATTTGATTAAAATTTTTTATTGTAAAGGTGATGTACAGGGGGTCATAGTTATTACATAAGTCAGATATAAGTGCATTTCTTTCTGAAGAGTAGCACCCTCCCTCATTTTCTCCCAGTTTTTTCCCTCCTAGTCCCCCATCTCCCCTAAAAATGATTTTTCTTTCTTTTTTTTTTTTGGGGGGGGGTCCGGTCGTGGGGCCTGAATTCTGGGCTTGGGCACTGTCCCTCAGCTCTTCAGCTCAAGGCTAGTGCTCTACCACTTGAGCCACAGCGCCACTTCCGGTTTTTTGCTTATGTGGTGCTGAGGAATCGAACCAGGGCTTCAGGCATGCAAGCCAAGCACTCTACCACTGAGCCAACTTCCCAGCCCATCCCCTAAAAATGATTTTAAAGAGGAGGAATCATTTTTGCAATGTTTTACCAAAGACTTACCAAAGTTCCGTAGGTGGCCACACAAAAGGGGAAATGCTTGCTGTGCACATCGTGTTATCTCTGGAAATGGGATACATTCCAATGCATTTGTCTTGTTTACTTGCAAAGGATTTGTGTCAGAAGATGGCTGTGGAATGGCTTGGCTCTACCCGGACAATTGCTTTGCTTTTTGTAGTCCCTGGGTTCTCATTTGTAATGTGTTTGCAGTATAGACTAGATGATGGAACATCTTCAATTCTCCCCCAGTTTGCTATTACAACTCCAGAGAGGTTGCTTTTGCAAGAGTCTCTATGTATTTGACCTGTAACATTCTGGGTAGATGCCCAGGATTGATACGGCTGGCTCACGGAAAAACCTAGGTTTAGTTTTTTGAGGAACCTTCAAATCGCCTTCCAGGGTGGTTGTACCCGCAAAGCAATAGGGTTCCTTTTCCTCCACTTCTTGCCAGCATTTGTTCCAATTCATGATGTCGGCCCCTGTAATTGAGCTGAGGTGGTATCTCAGCTCCTGTATGGCCAGGGATGAGGAGCATTTCCTCATGTGTTTCTTTGCCATTCTGACCTCTTCTTCTGAGAAGTCTCTCCTTAGCACCTCCGCCCATTTAGTGATTGGTTTATTAGTTTGTGTGTGTGTGTGCGTGTGTTAATTCTTTGAGCTCCTTGTATGTTTTGGATATTAGGCTGAATATATTCCTGCTCAAGATCATCTCTTAGTATGTTGGCTGTCTTTCTAGTTCAGTAACCATGCCCTGTGCTGTGCAGAAACTTCATTTTGGTGTAATCTCATTTGTCAAATCTGCTGTGCCCGTGGGACTCTTTTTTAAAAAGTTCCTTCCTATGCATATATATTTGAATGTTTCTCCAATCCATGTTGCCATAGTTTCAGTGTTTCAGGTCTGAGGTTGAGGTCTTTGATCTACTTTGAGTTGATTTTGGTGCATGGTGACAAATACAGGATCAGTTTTAATTTTCTGCATTTTGATGTACAGTTTCCTGACACCAATAGCAAATAACTGGGTATATGGCTTTATTTTGGGGTCTTCTAGTCTGTTTCATTGATCTTTGGACCTGTTTTTGTTATTATAGCTCTGTAGTATAGCTTGAGGTATGAGATTGTGATACCACCAGCATTGCTGCTGCTTCTTTCTTTCTTTTTCTTTTCTTTTTTGCCTAGAACTGCTTTGGCCTATTGGAGATCTTTGTTGTTCCATAAGAAGCTCTGGGTAATTTTATCTCAGTGAAGAACGGCATTGTGATTTTGAAGGCGATTGCGTCCAGTTTTTAGATCACCTTTGGCAGGGTGGTCATTTTCACTGTATGAATCCTCCCTACTGCGTGAATGTGGCAGGTCTTTCCAGTTCCTGCTGTCATCTTTGATTTCTTTATTCAGGTTTTTATAGTTTTTACTGTAGGGGTCTTCAAAAGAGGCTGTTTTTGTAATGCAAAATGTAATAGGCAGCCAGGCACCGGTGGCTCACACCTGTCATCCTAGCTACTCAGGAAGCTGAGATCGGAGGATCATGGTTCAAGGCCAGCCCAGGCAGGAAAATTCCCAAGACTCTTATCTCCAATGAACCACCAGAAAATCTGGAAGTGGCGCTGTGGCTCAAGTGGTAGAGCGCTCGCCTGGAGCTGAAGAGCTGAGGGACAGCGCCCAGGCCCAGAGTTCAAGCCCCATGACTGGGGAAAAAAAAAAAAAAAAGTACTATGTGTCACCATGTTTTAAGGTGAGAGGCTAAAACCTCTCCAGCGGGCACAGGTGCTTGTGCAGTGCCTCCATCTCCAGGCTGTGGGTGCCCAGGCACTCAGAGAGTTGAAAAGGGGCCAGATGTATTAATCCAGGATGAATAGATCCGCCAGAGTCTCACGTAGATTTCACTGGAGTAAATCAAGAAATCCGCAGATTCTATTTCTTTCTTGACACTCCAGGGAAGAAGAATGATTCTGGCGTCGTGGAGTGAGGGGTAGAATTCAGTACTCGGTGATTGTGGGGGTGAGATCTCTTACCTCTTGCTGGTTGTAAACGGAGACCATGATCCCGAACTCTTAGGAGCGACCACATTCCATTTTCAAAAGCCCCCTTCCTCCGTTTTACTTATTTTATGATTAAAGTGTGTGGGTGTGGGAAAGTTAATTTTTATGACAATGGCATTTTTGGAGATGGTCTCACCATGTAGCCTGGAATGTTCTCAGAGTCAAACTCCTCTTGCCTCGGCCTTGGGAGTGTTGGAGATTACAGGCATGTGTCACCATAGCCAGCATCTTCGTCTGTTTTAAAATTCAGCAGCGGTGGGTTGAGTCCTCTTATGAAAATCTTCCCCATTACCCTGTCTCCCCTCTCTCTGACTGCAGCTAGGAAATTATCTTCCGTGTAAGGCTGTGTGTGATTAGGTTTGGATGTAAAATTCCAGGATAAATTCCTCCACCCCCATCTCACATCAACCAAGTCCATTTTGCTCTGGCAGGTTCTGGGAATTTTGGCATAAATGCAAGTAGTTTTGCCATAGCAAAACAATGAAATTACTTAGAATTGGCAGTCTCCAAACTCAAGCTAAAAACATTCTCCTCGAATGAATGAATGAATGAATGAATACATGTACTTGTCACTGCCTAAGTTTATTAAAGGATTCTATTTTGAAAATACAGATTTTTTTTGTTTTTGGCAGTACTGGGGTGTGAGCTTGCTGCCTTGTGCTCGCTAGGAAGGTACTCTACCACCGCGCTAAACTTCCAGCCTTTTTTGGCAATGGATTACTTCTGCAATAGGGCCTTGCTTCCTGCCTAATGCACTATTTTTTTCCGTGTTTTTTTCTTTCCTGCTGTAGCTTGGATGACAGGCCTGTGCTACCACACTCAACTCTATGGATGGAGTCTTTTTGCTTGGGTTGGCCTGGAACTTTGATCCACCTGGTCTCAGCCTCCGACATAGCTAGGGTGGCAGGTGAGAGTGCGATCATGTGAAGACTGTAGATGAGGAGGGGTCTTTTTGCCTGGACTGGCCTTGAACTTCCATCCTCCTGATCTCTACCTCCTGAGTAGCTGTCATTACAGGTTTAAGCTGCTGGTGCCAGCTCATATGTTTATTTTTAATCAATAGATAGGCACTATCTACATTTCAACACCTCACCAGCATTTTTTTTTCTTTTTGGTCCATCTTAGGGCTTGAACTCAGGGCCTGGGAGCTGTCCCTGAGCCATTTTTTGCTCAAGGCTAGCATTTTACCAATTTAAGCCACAGCTCCACTTTTGGTTTTCTGGGGGTTCATTGGAGATAAGAGTTTCACTGAATTTCCTGCCCAGGCTGGCTTTGAACCACTATGCTCAGATCTCAGCCTCCTGGATAGCTAGGATTATCGGTGTGAGCCATTGGCACCTGGCTCATTGTCAGCTTTTTATCACCTAAAAATGTGTTGGTTGATATTTGGGTTAGTCTTTTCATTTAAAGATAATTCAGGGCTGGGAAGGTGGCTCAGTGGTAGAGCGCTTGCCTTGCATGCCTGAGGCCCTGGGTTCGATTCCTCAGCACCACATAAGCAAAAAAGAAAAAAGCCAGAAGTGGCGCTGTGGCT